TATGCTTGTTGAATTGTTGCAACAAGCAAGTTTGAACTGATCAGTATTAGTAAACTATAAGATAAAACAAGGATTGATGCTGAGCCAAATCAAGATTATGGGTTTCATAGCATCTTTTGAATCCTTGTTTGGTTTGCAAACTTCCTAGATTTTGTTGCAAGTCTGAATGTTATGATCATTATTAATGGGGCTGTTTATTCTAGTACATTCAATGGAATAACTTTGTCTCTGCAGGAATACAAAAGTTAGTTCTGGCTGGCAGAATTGGGGAAGCTATCGAAACAACACAAACATTATACCCAGGACTCCTAGAAAGAAATCCAAACTTGCTTTTCCTTTTAAAATGCCGGCAATTTGTGGAAATGGTTAGTGGATGTGACAGTGATGTACGACCTGCAGCCCATAGTCCTAGATCTAGTCCTAATGTCAGCCCTTCACACTCATATAGTGCAGCATCAATTGGAAGTGTTGCAAGTAGTTCTCCTTCAGCCACCAACGGCTTTGTTGCAAATGGCACATGTATAGACAATGGATTTGAAGCTGATAATGTACAAATGGAAGTTGAGGAATTTGAAGAAACATCAAGCAATGGTGTAGTGAATGGAACAGAAAAAATGGATGAGAGTGATCATAGTCCTAGCAGAGGTAAATGAGTAGTGTGAATATTTAGGTTTATGCCAAATTTTTGACCCTCCACATCAAAACATTCTTTAGCAAGATCTGTTTATCTGCTTGGAATACTGTACTGTACAGTAACTTCCATGAAAATGACCCAAGCATATTTTCAAACTAGTTTGGCTTCTCTTTATATAGGATTGTTAAAATCGTCATGAGTTCAATCAGCAGTGACCTTGACTTGCAAAAAAATTAGGATAGTTCAAATAGAAGTTGCATCAATAGAAATACTTTGTTTTCATCTATTTGAGCAGTCAGTGCTTTTTGTTTCTTCAGATTCCACTGGCAGACAAAATTTTTGTCAAAATAGAACTGTGCTTGAAAAGATTTTAGCTTTTGGAAGAGATTTACAAACTATGAGTGTACAATTGAGGAGAGAACATGGAAAAAATGAGACAAATAAGAAGACTCTTCAGGCAAGTCAATTCTGTAACTTTGTGTTTCCAATTTTATCCCTTTATATATTTAAATGTCCAGTTCAACAACATTGTTTTTAGCATGACAATTGAAAACTGTTTATATTTTTCAGGAAGCATTTAGTCTTTTGGCTTACACAGATCCTTGGAGCAGTCCCGTGGGGTATATTTTAGATCCTGTACAGAGGGAATCAATATGTTCATCTTTAAATAGTGCTATCTTAGGTAATTTTGGATAATGTTTTTACACACTCATATTATTAAAAGCTGCATGTACATGACAATGTTTTAATGACAGTCCAATTATGGATGTTTTGACAGCCTGAGAAGAGCTTGACCTTCCACAACATACGTAGATAGAGGTACTCAGGTTAAGAGGTGATAAAAATTGAACTGCTGAAATAGCTTCTCATGTCTAATGGTGACTTCTGCTCAGGTTGTGGAAATCTCAATTGCCATTGTCAACAGCTGTGTGATAATATCTTTTAACTTAACATAACTTTATGCTTAGCATGAATCCTTTTCTTTTCGGTGTTGATAAACACATGAGCAAATATTTTTAACTATTCATAAACCTGTATATTCATTGACATTGAGCTAGGGATAAAGAAATAGTCCTACCTGAAGAAAGATTTCATTCATCTGTCACAAGATTTTAACCCAAAAAAATTAGTTCACTTTGTAGATTCAAACCTTACCCTCAGATTTTTCTATCTGGTGCTGTATCCCTGAGCAACAAAAATTGTTGATTATCTGGGCCATATACATCTGTACATGTACCAAGTTCATAAGTTATGTGACAGAATTCCTACCTTACTCTTTCAGTTGCTTTCTTACGGCATGTTATGTCCTATGGCATCTATGGTAGCATAGACTTCTTTCTTGTGACTCTGTTCAATCATGTCACATCCACTTCAGAGTTTGTAACTTCTCCTGAGCTTTTTTTCATGTTTGCACAATATGCACAGAAAAAACCCAGTATATGATTGTTTTTTGTATTCTCAAATCATTGTTAGGATTGTATCAATATACTTGGTCCATCTTTAGGATCAATGTTCTTTAGTCTTACATATTAACCCGGTATCTGGCCTAGCTCACCATCAAGTTTCCTTTAGCTCCATGGTAGAACAACAGAGCACCAAATCCAAAGGGGCAGGGTCTGACACCTTGTTGTGGACTTGGATTTTTTCCCTTTCTCCTAACCTCTTGTTATGAATGTTTTAAAACATTTTAATTCTATATTCAACCAAGCTTAAATTTACTGTCTTTCTAAATCCATTGATCTTGTTTGCTTTCAGATTCTCATCACTTGCCCACAAAACCCCCTTTGGACTTAATTCTGGGACAGGCTCAAGAATGTTTGAAACTCATGTCAAAGATTGGACTAGGAGCATGTGCATTTGCTAGTGTTGAAGAGTACATGTAACATACAAATGTGGGGCAAATGTTTGGTTAATCTGTGGATGAAAGTACAATGTTTTATAAAAGCTTAAAATGACTCAACATAAAAAGTCATTGTACGCAGTGTAAACATATCAACAAATGCATTACTTACCGGTACTTAAGTTTTTATCAAAATGGTGGTTATGAATTTACATGTAGGCAGCATTTTCTCTGAATCTTAAAGTCTTTTATGAGTAGAACCAAAAAATTACATTGCGTGGTATCAATAATCTTTTCACACCCACATCCAAAGACACTTGTATTGTCTAAATTAGATATTACAATTTTTACAGAAAGACTCATAGTAGGCAACCAAGACAGTTTTCATTTCCAAGACTGTTAACAGAAATCCTCAGAATTGCTTTGAGATTGTCTCCAGAAGTTCACACCACTAACTCAACCAATCATTCACTGATAGAGTAAATTGTGACTTATGTACTCTCCTTTTGATATTTTCCTCTGCCTTCCTTACCAGAAGTGGTATCTTAAACTGCTAGACTGTTATTGCACTGCTATACTGTTAACCTACATGTACATCCAATTCCTTATTTTTGGGTTATTAAGGGGTAAAAGAACCTGAAACATTGTTTGAATTTGTAATTTGCTATAGGGGTTTATTTTATTTTTTGAAATATTGTAAAAATTCTGTAATAACTTGACAGATACACAGTCCTGTATATTAGTCTTGTTTTTTTTTTTTGGGTTAGTTTTGCATTGCACATCTTGCAAATTGTCATTATTTTTGTAAAGTTTATCATGAAAATTATTTGGGGTTAATTAGAGGGTTTGTGCAGGACAGCAATAGGGTCATGCACGGTTGATGTCAAAGGGTACAAGTTCTACAATAGGAAAACCATGAACATCTGCTTTCTGATATTCTTTTTCCCTCGAAATGACTGATTTAGCATTCAACTGCTATTAGTTTGTATTACAGGAGTGTAGAGTGACATATTATTCTCTAGTTCTGCATTGTTTTAGAGTATAAATCTACTTCTCTAATCATGGCACACCCTCAAGATGGTTGCCTAAACAGCTCAACACAGTTCTTTTACTGGCTAATAGCCGGATTTGTCACTCAAACCTTCATTGCATTTGTAATGCAGACTAAATCCAGATGATATATTGCATATTAATCAGAGGTATTCTCTACTATTAAATATCTTTCCTTTTTGTCTTTTTGTTGGTGAGTTTTTACAGAAAAATCTGTTTGACAATCAAGAAAAGCAATTTTGAACTATATACTGTATATTACTTTTGATTAGTGTAGGGGCTAGGTTCTGTTTTCATAAGTGTGTAAATAAACTATATAGATTTTACTTTTTTGTCTCACATTATTCTTGTTGCACTCAGCACAGTTTGCCTCTGACAGATAACCTTCATAAATGAATAAAAGGGGGTAAGTTTCTGAAGAAACTGTGGTGCTGCGTCGGTGAGAGAGTATGGCAGGTAATTTAGTGTTTACAACTGAGTTGAAAACATATATTGGCTACAGTAAAGAGTGCAAAAGCTGACATTTCAAGCAGTAGCCCTTCGTCAATTGCTCTGACAAAGGGCTAACACTCAAAATGTCAGCTGTTTTACTCTTTACGATGGCCAGTTTACATTTTCAACTTGTTGTTAACACTAAATTATCAGATAACCTTCCTAATTTGCTCTTGGTGTTCACCTGGTCAAAATGGTCAACAATACTGTATTTCAGAGGTTGTGCTCCTTGCCATAGAAAACTAGAGCATACTTGAAGGAGTAGCTAAAGTTGTATTTTTGTTGAAAGACTTAAAATGTAACCAGAGTATACTGAAGACAAGGAAGCTCATATAGCACATTCATATCAAACATTTGTTGAGTCTGCAAGCAAGCTCTCATTCACACTGTGGCTTGACCAGCAAACCCCCAAGATTCAAGTTTGCAAGCAAAACAAGGGTGCAAAGAGCCACAACCCTCTTAGACATTTCCCTCACTTTGCTGGCTGGCTTGAAATGTGTGGGCTGCTCTGCTGCTAATGTGAGACTTTTGGGTCCAAAGATGCCACGTTGAAACAGTAACTGGAAAAATTCATGGCCTTGAGAAATACAAGATCCTAAAGACCTTACCAATTTGTAGAACATATGCTCAGCAAAATATAGGAAGAGAAGTTTTCATTTTTATTCGATGTCTTTTCAAGATTTGGACTAAAATGTTAAAATGAATCGGGCCTGAAAAAGGATCATGCAGAACCCCATGACTTTGCAGCCACCCCAATGAGACCTTGGATCCACTTCATAGAAATGTGTTTGAAAGCATTACTTATCTTTCCAGAACAATGGTTTGACTTTCAGAGGAACTAAGGGTGGTTGCACATGGTTAGTCAACAGATGATCTCCCAGGGGCATATTTCAGGTGGTAAGCCCCAGGTTGTAGATTCTCTTTAAGCAGTTTACATCCTTGTCTATATATATCAGTCTTCCAGATGCATTTCATTACATCAAATTCACAAACAAATGGCATTTATTTTCATTTTGAATCTATGCTGTACTAGTATTTACAATATTTGACAAGCTGGAAGAAGAAAGTTTTCTACGAGTTATGGACCAAACCAAGAGTACAGAAATCTGAACAACCTACTTGTGCAACAAATTTTATGATTTAAAGCAATAACTTATGAAAGCAAAGAGCAAAAGAACTTTGATACAAGTCTTGAGCTTTTACTCTAAAGGGAAGGTTTTTTGAAATGATAATATTCCAACTTTAACAAGTCAACATGCTTTTCATACATGTAAATTTCACTTCAAATTAATCACTTCCTAGTCTAACTAATAGAATTAATTGCCACAAGTTTACTCAGTGATGGCATACTTGCTCTCAAATTCCCTCATTTTATCTTTGAATACTAAAAGTGAAAAAAGAAAGAAAATGTTGGCAAAAAATGACTCAAACACAGGCATTGGGCTTCAGAGTGATGGATATTTCTGCACAGGCCCCATACCAAGACAAGAGCATAGTCCTAGAGGCAATGTATGGTTTGAACTATGGGAAAATCTTACTGAGAAATGTAATGCAATAAAAGGAAAGAGAAGAAGAGTCAGTTTGAAGCCTGGAGTTCAAACTTTCTAATAACAAAGAGAATGTAAAGCTTCTTCTACAGTCTGGACTTAATTGATTTTAAATTACAAATTTACACAACATTACCAGCTTTATTATTCCATTTCTGAGCTGCATCAACATTAAGTGGGTTGTCATTGTTTGGTGCTGAAAAGAAACAAATTACTTTTCATGTGGTTACTCGTTACATTTTTAGGCTCTATCTCTATCACTGATTGGTCAAATTCTTTAATTGTCATAAAACACCTTGCTTTCATTTCAAAATCCCTTGCTTTGAAAGGCAGGTTAAATTTTTATTTCTCAGTTTCATAGTCACTCACAACTGAATTAAATTATTTGTTACCTCCCAATAACGCTTGTATGGAATGCAATATGCTTCTGACGCCATATGCAGAAGTCCATTTGTCCTGCAAAATAATGCATGATCAAGTAACGTTAATTTGTTACTCTGCATTCCATTTCACAGTGCGCCTAGCAACACACTTTCCAGAAGCCCTTTTACCCAATAATGACCAGTTAAACAATATTTAGCCTACTGTACCTTTAGAATGTCTAAGCAAATGTTTCCTTTGTCGTCCACATTAGGGTGATAACATGGCGTCTTGAATTTGACTACAGGAGGTTTGTGAGGATATGTGCTTGGAAATTCTAGGGTTAATTGGTACTTTTTCCCATCATAGACCTACAATGAAATGTCAAGTACAGAGCTTGCGTCAACCGTTCAACGAAAACACTAAAAAATTTTCTCATCGGAGAGAAGGAAAAATCCGATAAGCAAGTGTAACTTTCAGACTCTGATGTTCTCTCCTGCCTACATCCTAAGCCCTGGCGACTTATAGATAACGCTTCTTTAATATTTACAATGCTTTTTGAGGTTTATTTGATTTTTGTAAAAGCAATTTTTTGCTTTCAACAAGAAACACACAGAAACTCTGGTCGGGGTGGAACTAGAAGCTGAGCCTGGCACAAAGAAAAAAAGATACTTTACCGTATCCTTTCCTCCATAAATTGTTCCAATCCACTCTAAGATGCCATCGCCAGATGGAAATGCCGAGATAAGACTGTCTTGATGCTATATAACAGAAACATTAAAAAATTATTTACTTGAGCCACTAAGAATAGGACAAGATAATGAGCAAACTGGGAGAAAATAATTACGAGTACATCAATTTCCGAGCCTTACCTCAGAAAGTTCCTTAAGATCCAGTAAGAGCCTGTTTATCAAATTTAACGACCGATTAGTGCAAAGAAAACACCTGGAATGACATGTCAATCAAAATATTCCTCAAATGAGATCCCAACACTCTTTACCTGGCCCAAACTTTTCCCTCGCAAGCCATTATTTTTTGGAAAACAGTACAACTTGATCGAAGCTTCGATACCTCTTCCTCTTCAGAATAGAACGGCTAAACGAGAGGTAAGTTTTTTAAACTTGAATTCTCTTCGCATGGACCAATCAGATCGTCTATTCTAATAAAATTGACCAATCACAGCGCTTACTTTCCTTCGGTTCCAGTCTACCTACTTGGAATCCCATAGATCTCTTCGGTCAGGAAAAGCGCCATATTGGATTTCACGTCTATCACTTGATCGCCGTGGCTGATGAAAACAGATAATTTCACGTTGACATGCCTTACGCAAACCAACCCAGTGTAAAAATTCTGGAGCTTACAGAAGAAAACGTGAAGTTTGTGATCGAAAATACAGACTTAAGGTATGAATAAGAACATTTTGATCGACTTCTTTATCATCGTACTCATGTTAAAGACGTTCCAAAGCTAAACGGCAGTCTCTCACCCAGCTCCCTAAGTTTTTGAGCTAATTCTCCTCACTGATCAGTAGTCATCTTTGGTAAAATTTCCGCACAGCCCCATCCTACGTCATGCATTCAGTTCTTGGATAGAGAAACAATACATTGCCATTGGGAAAACAGATTTGTTTTACAATAGTATGGGGCTGTGCGGAAATTTTACCGGGTAAACAAGAATTAAAAATGGCTTTCTCAAGTATGTGCTTCAGATGACAAAATTTTCGTATTCACAAATAAATCACCACTCAAAAGACTGTGGTATATGTAATACAGAAATCAGCACAAAATAAATGGAGTTTGTTATTGTGATTATAAACACCTCAAGCTGGAAAACAAACTTTTGAGCTCAAGATTGCAAAAATTTATGAAACAGGCAGAAATTGGAAGTAAATGTATCACCAAAAGGACTGTTTATGGTGATTTTGTGATTTAGGATCAGAACTCAGTTACATTTTGTCGAAAACTCAAAAGTTCTTTTTTGTTTTGCATTAATTACATGCTCTGGTTATATGACCAAGAGCTGGTCAAAATTTTCAAACAACTCAATTACCAGCAGTTGGATACTTTTCTGAAAATTTGACAAATTGAGAGATCTTATACAATCCAAACTATCATATGTTGTTGAGGAATTGCTAAGTGATCTTGAGAGGTTTTATGAATCTCATACTTTTCTCAGAGTACAGAGCCTTGGATTTTGACACTTCTGAAATTGAGGTCCACTGCTGGTCATGATTTTTAAATAAGTAACTGACTGGTGGTTGCAATTTTGAAAGAACCTATACAATCCAAAAACTCTCTGTCAATGAGGAACTACTTAGCAATCTTGAGGAAATTTAGAAAACTCATGTCTAAAGCTCAGTTTACGCTGACTCAGAATACTTAGAAATTGCATTACTTCGACTGGCAGTCACTGTTCTCAAATAACTAAATGACCTACACAATCCAAAATACTCTCTGTCGAAGGGGAACTGGGAAGTGATTTTGAGGAGATTCACATATTTTAAGTCTGATGCTTGGTTTACACTGAGTTAGAATACTTAGAAATTGCATGACATCGACTGCCGTTCACAGTTCTCAAATAACTAAATAACAGGAAGTCGTTAGTTTTTCCAAAACCAAGAGAGCCTATACAATCCAAACTACTCTATGTTGACCAGGAACTGCTAAGAAATCCTTAGAAGATTTATAAATTTCATGTTTGGGAGCCTTACATATTATTGTATATTAAGACATATAAATCTTAATTTTTGGAATTATTGTGTCAGTTATAGATGCAGCAATAGTCTGCCATTCCTTAAGTTTCGCATTTAAATTTGTTATGGCTACGAATGTTGTGTACCCATTTCAGACCATGTGGCCAATCTATGATATATGAGTCTAGAAAGGTCTATTATACACAATGTAACTACAGGAAGTCCCTGGAGCAGCTGAAGGGTGCATTCCAGTTATTTTATTCATTTCTTTTTTCCTCCATTGTCTCTTTTTCAGCATGGCTAATGGCTTACGAAGGATATTTATTGCTGAAACTCCAACTATAGGTTACTCTTTAACTTTCTTGTTAATTATTAGTTATTTTTGCCTAGTTTCAGGGTTCTAGTCTCCACTAGCTTAAAAAGTCCAACTTTAAAATGAAAGGAAACTTGATTTTTTGAACATTTAACTCTCCTCACAGTAAAACGCTTCTATATTGTAGAACATGTACATACAAGACATAACCATTACCATTACTATTACCACTAACCACACCCACAAGAGATTGAAAGAGAGGCTTGATACATATATGTAATCAGCACTCTGTACATGTATATCAAGCCCTTGATTTATTCATTCTGTCAATGGTTTTCAGTGCAGTTATTAGCCTAGCTGATCTTTTGTTTGCTTGCAAGAGAAATTCCATATATCAAACACTCTCAACTGGCTATTTAAAACCGTGTTTTATACAAAGTTGACCTTCTAATCATCTCTTTTCAGCCATAGACTGGGTACAAATTGACAACAACACTTCTGTACTACACGATGAGTTTATTGCCCACAGATTAGGTAGGTGTGTAAATACAGTGTGTATATGCACATTTTTGCTGTCAGTTTTGTGCCTTTATCTTGTATTGCATTTTAAATTATCAAGTATTGAACACTAGGCCCTGGTTTTTCAAAGGTCAGATATTGCTATCCACTGAATAACTCTCTATCTGGTGGATAAGGCTATACATTTTGCTATCACTTTTCTGTCTGATATGTAGTGATTTATCCATTGGATAGTGTTATCCACCCTTTATATAACTAGGCCCAGGATTTTACAAGGTGCAATACAAAATATACTTCCTGGATAAGATACCCTACTGTAAGAACATGCAGACAAACAGTCAGGGACAAGAAAGTGCAACCACTTTCAATTAGCCCATTCTTCTGTATCTAATACTCAACGTGTGGTTTTGTTGACCCTAAGACCGTTTCGTCTTAGGGATAAGTCATGATAACCTATCCCATCCAGTTTTGCTGATGAACCGTTCAAGGGAATGACTTTCTCTGGATTACTTTGAGGGACTTTTGTGATCCCCATTAATGTTTGCACAGTTTTTTACATGAGGTAACTTTTCCATCAGGTCTTATTCCTTTGACCAGTGATGAAAGTGTGGATAGATTGTGCTACTCCAGAGTAAGTGTATCTTGAACACTGTTGCTAGAAACATGAGGAAGTTTTGAAAAGAAGGCTTCAGTTGACAAAAGTTTAGGCATGAAAGAGATTTGCATTGTTGACCCTTTAACTTCCATGAGTGAACAAGAGCGAATTTCTCCCTATAAAGTCCATTCATTTTAAAGCAGAAAAGCAATGAGATTAAAAATATATATAAATTAGGGGATTACTAGTTGATCCAATATCAAATTCTCAGAACTAACATTATCAGAATTCTATGGCAGACAGTAAGGAGAATCACTAAATTAAATGTAATATTGGGAGTGAAAAGGTTGAACCCTGCAGTGATACTGGTGCAGTGCTCCCATTAGTAAATTCCCCAAGACTGCTGGGAGCTGAGCTACAATTTGTATAATGGTCAGGTTTATTTTGTAGTTTATAACTATTCTTTGAACACTTTTTTACTTCACCCACTGCATGTCAGCATTAAACTGTGCTGTCAAAGTACATTAATCTGACCAGACTGGGATTTCTTTTGTAAAAGGATTGCACATGTGAGGAGTTCTGTCCAGATTGTTCTGTTGAACTGAAACTGGAAGTAAAATGCACAGATGATCAAACACGACATGTGACAACCAGAGACCTTGCATCTTCAGATCCAAAAGTTATTCCAGTGAGTTATGCAGTTTTAAATTTAATTAGCTTTTTTCCATGGGCTAAGTGCATGATTCCATATAGTAGTAATTATGTGTTATTCATGATACAGGGTATGTATCCATCTAGAATTTAGCCACAAGAATAATTTAATTTCCAAGTTAACAGAGCAACTGAATTGATGACAGAAAGAAGCAAACATTACCTCCTTAATTTGTGAAGGTGTTTTCTCTTTTCCTGTAGCAGCCATCTTTGATATGTTCAACCCAACTTAGAGGATTTGCTTCATTTCAGAAAAAATTGTATCATATTTGGAATGTTCTTTTAGTGTCCACAATTAGCTAATATATATGTACCTAAATACTCTGACACTTAAAAAGGTTATTCATTCATTCATTTATTCTTTGCATCTGTTTGTGTAGGTTACATCACGGCACCATGAAGATGAAAACAGTGACTATGGTGAACAGGATGGTAAGTGCTTGGTAGTTTTTTTGATCAATCCTCACATTTATTTTACAGGATCCCCATGGGTAAGACACATCGCACTACTGATTCAGGGGTGTCTATCCATTTAGAATTTAGCCAAAAAAATAATCTAATTTTAGAGTTGACAGTTAGAGCAACATAATTGATGACAGAAAGAAACAAACATTTCCTCCTTAATTTGTGAACAATTCAAGGTGTTATCTCTTTTCCTGTAGCAGCCATCTTTGATATGTTCAACCCAACTTAGAGGATTTTCTTCAATTTAGCCAGATGTTCACATTTTGTTTTCCTCCGATGTCCCAGCCTTTCAAAGTTGATATATATATACTGCAGATAAAAACATTTCACATGGAATTTAAAGCCATTTGAGCCTGGATGTTGTGTTGTAGAGTTACTAATTTTTTTGGTTCCCACCACTTTTCAGACATTTTGATTGTTAAGCTACGTAAAGGACAGGTAAGATGTCTCTAATGCTCAGGTGAACACCTTAGTTTTTTAATGGGAAATGTGCCACAAAGTTTACATTTATTTTACAAACCATAATGCAAGCAGCCACTGTACAACCATGTGCTTTTTATTAAATATTTTTTTAATTTGAAATTCAAGTTTTAAAGGCATTTAGCACCTGTACCTTTGATTGAAGTTCATTTACATGTACCTTTCTCTCTCAAAATTATTTACAGGAGCTCAAGTTGCGAGCTTTTGCCAAAAAGGTAAATTACATCTTCCATCTATGTTTTGTTACATGATTAGATTAGTGTATGCTGTTCCTACATCTGAATTTGCTGTGATATTGTTAGGGATTTGCAAAGGAACATGCCAAATGGAACCCCACAGCAGGTGTGGCATTTGAGTATGACCCTGACAATGCCCTAAGACATACAACGTATCCAAGACCAGAGGAATGGTAAATTTGCTTCAACTTAATTTGCTTCTTCATTTCAGTAAACCTTTTGAATAGCAAGTCTGACCAATCTTACATTAGCCTGTGTGTAGCTGTACCCTCCCCCACCCCCAAGGTGAAATGGAAGGGACAGAACATCTCTAATCCTTGGCAGGGAGGGGAGGGGAGGTACAGCTACACTTAGGCTAATTTAAGATTGGTCAGACTTGCTATTCAAAAGTGGTATACCGTAATTTCCGGTCGATTACCCGCACGGCCGATTACCCGCACCGGCCGATTATTGCATACGGCGAAAAAAAAAGTCAACGGATTACCCGCACCGGTGGATAACCCGCACGTTGTTATTCAACTTTTTCGGTGGCGAAAACGTGACATTAAGGCGATACATTTCAGTCTTTCGATTCAGACATGTGCACAATTCTGTGTCAATATTAGCTTATACTTTATTGATTGATTACCGATTTCATCGGCAAGAGTTATTACTCTAAGCTTATAATCAAACGTAAAACTGTGACGTGGGCGTTTCACAGCAGGCATTTTAACTTAATTGGTGACTCGTGGATACACTTATTGCGAATGATCGAGGTTTATAATTCTTATTCAGTCAGTTACCTTTTTATAGCATGTAGGAGCGTAATGAGCAATATCCATTGTTCATTTGTCGTTAAAATACTTTTTCAGCGCGAAATTAGTTAAGTTTCGCACCTATTATTTTCAACATTCTGGTGATGCATTTGGGATTTAAAATTACTGTCGGCAATTTCTCAAAAAAATCGATATCTCCTGTTCTACTGGGCCTAACAAGTCCCTTAAAACGGGAAAATTCTCTTTAGCTCAAGCTAGTGAAAACTGGAAATTTGTTACTGATGCGCCGGATATCCTTGGATTATTTTTGTCACCATCAAGGTTTTGTTTTCACGCGTGCCGATAAAAATTTGTTTGTCACGCAACTAATTATGCGTGAAATAAACTCGAGTTGGCATCATGTTTTCGTGCCGCTTTGTGGCACTTTTGATACAATAAAATTCATTTGAGAGGTGGAAACGCAGGTAGGTGAGAAATTTTTTCAATTCAACTTCCAGAAGAATTTAAAATTGTCACATAACCCGCACCTCCCTATTACCCGCAGTGGCGCGGATTTAATGCAAAATCAACAGATTACCCGCGGGTAATCGACCGGAAATTACGGTAATTGTTTTTTTAGAAATTCTTCAGCATTCCCCTTCCCATCATTTTAATTGATTTTCATGTAGATTTCTCAACATTATATCTTAGGCCAAAGAGTGAATACACAGAACTGGATGAAGATAGCCGTAAGTAGATAGTTTACCTGAATTACCAAACTAAGGTGTGACCAGACAATTAAAACTTTGGAGCAGTTTCCAAGGTATAGTATAATGTGAAAGTTATACTTGGATCAACTTGGAACAACAAACTCTACTTGTGAAAGGATACATGTACTTAAAAGCTGAAATTGTTAGATGGTGACAAAAGTTCTCTGTTTGTTTTTTTCAGATCAAGCACCATTTGATCCAAATGCTAAAGCAGACAGATTTTATATAAATGTTGAGGTAAGATAAAGATTTGAAGGGATTTTTTTTGGTTTTTATTTCTTTTCTAAATTCCATTTTAAACCTCTTTGTTTTACTTTGTTTCATTTAGTTTAATTTATTTTTTTATATTCAATTTTTAATTTAGTTTATGTATATTTATCTACATTAAATACCTAGACATACAGCAATACCATTACTAGTACAACTTACATGGCTACAACTTACATGTAACGTAAATAATGAGAAGAACGTACAAAACTAGTTTAGCTTACACTGCTACAGTGTAACTCTGATATGTATGTAATTGTAACATTAATAATGATGATAATGATAAAACTAAATACCAGCAAGAAAAAATAGCCATAGCAGGCAAGATCTTTGCATTTGTAAGGTATCATTTAGATAGTTTACATTTATGTCAAGTGTAAACAATTCGTAAGATGCTAAGCTGTATCAAGCATTTGGAAACTTTTTTATTTTAAATCTAGAACAAGTCTCATGTTGCTGTTCTGTATTTTGTAGTCCTGTGGCTCATTAAGACCTGAGACTATCGTGTTGAGTGGGCTGTCTGTGCTCAAGAAAAAGCTGAGTGATCTCCAGACTCAACACAGCCATGAAGTAGCTGCTGATGTCTTGACCATATAAGGACCGACACCCAGTGCAATGTTTCTGTAGTTATTTATTTTATAATAGAAAACTCATTTTGTAATGAAAAGATTTGATAGCCACTTGAAGTAATGTGTTCTTATCAACAGAAACAACCATGTTTCTTAAAAATTTTGCTGAGGTTTAATTCAGCGGGATGGTGATTTTTGTGTTCTTTGCGTCTTAAGATAGCGGATATTTCTCCAGGGCCAAACCCCTCCTGTTCATTCGTAAATTAAGCGCTTGCTTCCCCCTCGCGCGTACAAAAGAAAAAAATTGATGCTCGTGTATGGATATTAATGGGAAATCTTCGTTTCAATCATTAGTTTTGGGGTCTATGATTTTCTTGGGTAAGCTGCAAATGAGAAATCATAGTGCTTTGATAATTGATAAAGATGGTGCTTTTCCTCCCTCATGCTTGTGTGTTTCTATCACCATGGCTTTTAGCTATTGTTGATAGAGTTAACTGCAATCCTGTGTGACAAAGGAGGGCCTTTTGATTTTTAATTGTCACATTTGAATTAGAAAATCTTGGTGAAATTTAGTCCTGCGATATCATGACGGCAAATAACTCTCAGATCGCGCTGAAATTGCAGCTAACTTGCACTGCTTAAGAGAAAATAAAATTCTGCCCCAGACCTCCACCCACTTTCTGAAGAACACAAGGTTTTGCATTCTACTTGCCATATAGTTCCAAATGCTTGCAACGTCTTAAATTACATGTTGCACAGCTGTACTTACTTAGCGATGCCTTCCTTGATGATGACTGATTCTTTATAGTGCTGGGTTTTAATTAATGGTATTGTTGCGGAATCCTTATAACCCCGCTCGCTGGTTCAACCAAATCAAGAGGACTGTATCTTTCTATGTAACATGATTTAATATACAATTTTCACGTATTCAACGGTCGTAACAAAACTATCAACGACCAACGACCGACCAACACATTCTAGGTATTTCTATTATCCTTGCGTAAGGCGGTATTTTTACATTCGTCACATGTACTGTAAAAGTTCCCATTGTAATGTATCAAAATTAAGTGACTATTACAAAATCGCTCGTTCTTTCGCCTAAGAAAATGCATGCAGTTACATCATTTTATGTCGTAAATGTACGAGGACTTTGTCTACATTGTTGTGAAATCTAATGTCACGAAATTTAACTTCTTTGCGTTACAAATGTCAATTTCTAATTAATATTTAATCACAAAATAATCAAGTTAAGTATCACCTATTTCTTTCCCGACAGGGATCTTGCCATTGTCAATTTCATATTCGCTTTGGTTACAATGTCATTTACTGAGGGATCTCGACTTCCTTCGAAACTAAGTACTATTAACCAGTTAACCCTTAAACTCCTTAAGTGTGACCAGCATCTAATTTCTCCTTACAATGTCACCTTGAAGAAAACATGAAAGTTCACGAAAATCAAGAAAATAATCACCAACTTATAAAGCTTCTGGAAATGTATTGAGAACAGTATGGAGAATATGCACACTGATGTTAGGGTGTAAAGGGTTAACCGCTCTAATGTGACTTCGTACGTTTGCTAAGTCTTCGCCGACTTTGTGTCTTGCTAGATCTTTGTTGACTTTGTACATTCGTTATATTTTCGTTGATTGTGTCTTTAGTTAAATCTCTGTTGACTATGTGCGTTGGCTAGATTTACGTCAACTAGTCACCTAGTGTTGTGCGAGATCTTGCTATCTTCCCTAAGGCAGTCAAGAATCCCTGTGCTTTCTTTGTGAATAGGACATTAGGTAACACGTCTTTTCTTCGCTTTCTTTTATCTTGAAAATATTCTTTATCGTGGTCTTTTTGGACTGCAAGAGAAGAATCATTTACTCCATGGCAAATAATGTAGAGGTATTGTGGGATCAATACCCGGGATTGATACTGGACAAAAAAGGAATGAGTGTTCAGCTTCTTCGGTTTTTTGCCGTGCTATTTCTCCTTCTATAACTTAATAAATTCCATTTCTTTTTCAATTTTCACTCAGAAAAAAAAGTATTAATTCCCAGATCATTGACGCGTATCAGGCCTCATGCAATCTCTTTCACTCAAAACTAACCAACAGACCGAAAAATTGGAGAGTGTTTTGCCGGAATTTATCCCAGTTTCAGAAATACAAAGTGAGTCAGAGTACATTGTAGGCGATCAGTCACCGGCAATTTTCCAAAATTGCGATAAGCTCCCTAAAATTTGACACATTAGTGCACCCAGATACGTATGTGGGGGTGAAAGAGCGAGACAGAAAGGATTTTCTACCCAATATACGGGTACCCTCCATAAGAGAATTAATGCAATGTTTACGGGACCAACCTTTTTTAAACACACTTCGTATTTTTCATCCTCGCTCGGTGTTGTTGTTGTTTCTGGGCTGGTCTTCTGTTCACCTGGCCTGATCTGCTTGGGTTTGGCGCCAGGGTCTGTACATTGTCGTCTCAAGTCCTATGCAGCAAAGTAAAAAAAGTTACGTTAGGGATGAATAAGGTCATGTCTTCAGGGCTGCCAAACATAAAGAACTGCTTGACAACAGGGGTGAAGCCGTGAATTTTTGATTTGAGGGTCCAACATTTTATTCAACAAACACAGTTATTTTCTTTTTTCCACTATAGCCCTTAGAAGCAAAAAATATTTCAAGATGAGAAAAATTAAAATATTTAAAGTTGATTTCTTTAGTTTCAGACAAGTAATATGAATAGCCAGAGGTCAGGTGGGGGGTTTGGATCAGCCATGCCGCGCTACCCTGGATCCGCCACGGAATGATAAGCTCTAAATGCGACGAAGACCAGAAAAAAGTAAGGAACGAACATGCAGAACGCGTGTCTCCTAATCAAACAGAGAGGGGATGGAAAGAATCATGAAAATAAACGTTCTCTTACGAGAGCTCTATCTAAACCTCCCTTTTTCGACGCGCAATTAATTTACTTCATTCATTAAATGAATTTTACCTTTTTATAGTGACAAGTCTTTCCAGTCGCTCCACAAGGGTCAGAGTGTGTACATTCGGGACGACTTTCAGGCTGCAGTTCATAGAGACATAAAAAATAAATTTTATGTAAGACGTGACAAGATATTTCTTGTCCGTTGTGTTTGAGTTATCAGTTTGTTAGCAACTTTCCAATGTTGAACATTTTCGACGAAAGCCCCCTAATCTACTCTTTGGTCTCTTCGAAAACGAAAACGAAGCTATTACATTAGAATGAAATATCATTCGATTTTGTAATCTATGTCAATCAAGTCCTTTCGTCATGAAACAAAATAGTGCAGCTCAGAAGGTCTTAAGTTCCAATCTACTTGAGACCACTTGGGATTTAATCTCTTCCGAAAATGCCTCGAGATGTACATGTAGCAATTGCCGGCCAAATCCTCATTTTTCAATGAATAACAAGTATTCTTACCGGTGAGAATAGACCTCTCCACAGCTTTTCCAGCCTATCAACCTGTCTCTGTCGATTGGTCTGAAGTTGTTGGAGTTTACCAAAATCCTTTTTTTCTTCGGCGGTCATTTTTCCTTGTGCCATTTCCAAATCCTCAACTCGATGCACCACATCGTTGTGTTCTGCTCTGAGACCGTGATACGCGAAGTCGTAAAACTCTCGTTTCACCTCCTCACTGCATTTACAACACTCAGCCCCCATGGAGAGGACTGAGGTGTATAACTCCTGTAGACTAAAACTGAGTCTCGATAAAAGGTCGAGCTGGACAGAAACTTTCAGTTTGTCTTCCTTTACTTCTGGCACTTGCAGTATAGATGTTACATTTGCACGAAGGAGCTCATTTAGGTCTTTCAGCTTTGCGTCGATTTCACCCTCTGTATCTCCTCGACCTGGTGCGAGAGAATTTCTGGTATCTTCAGAATCATCCTCTCGGGCCGAATTATCGAAGTTCTCGGCCAAGTCCTGCAAAAGTACACAAAACTTTCCTTGTCATCAGAAGAAAAAGAAGAAAATTGAGTTATAATTTATACATAGCGGCTTTCTTATTGGGTTGTGCAAAAACTCTTAACGAGATGCGCCGCTCGCCACAGCTGACAATATGTTGTCCCTATTACCAGGAGCCCATTAAGTAATGTGTAATGGCACTTGTTTTTCTGCAAGTGATTCGGGAATCAGAAAAAAAGCGCACCATTCTTGTAAATCGGCTCAGGAAATTTCTCAAAAAGCAAGTCCATACCCCAAACGGAAAAATTGCAAAAAAATCACCATGATTTTAACTCTTGTTAAATATCTTTTTTAACATTTCGTTTAGGAAATATGAGCTATTTCTGTAGCGTTCAACATAGTTTAAGTAACATATGCCTACCAGTTCTGACTTGTCTTCTCTTATTCCAGCCAACTCCTTTTCCAGTTTTAAAGTTCTGGTCTTCCACTCTTGACTCTGTGTCACATATTAAATGAAAGATAAAATTTCAGAAATGTCGTTTGGTATTTAATTATTTTTTGGAGCATTGAGCAATTGTTACAGGGTATCATGGGAATTCATCCCAATTATATTGGAATGAGCTGAAGGTACGTCTGATATGTTAAGAACCAAAACAAGAACAGAGCAGAAAATGTGGTTACCAACCTCTTGGGAAGTTTCGTGAAGCTGTTGTTTTACTCTAGACAGTTCCTCCTCCAGTTCTTGAATTCTTGTGCGTAATTTCTGGCTCTGTTTATTAAACTGCACAAAGGAAAATAAACTTTTTGGTTTTGTTTCTATAAACGTGAAATTATCAGATAAAGTATCCGTTGTTTGACAAGAAATGGTTCGTTACCATGCTGGTTGGAAACGTAAAGAAAGATAAATATCCAACTAGCTGCCCATCAGAAATTAAAATTATTTACCAACCTCTTCTAAACTGTCTTCAAGCTGTTTTGTTATATCCTTCTTTTCATTTTCGAGCTCCTGCTTTCTCACTTGCAATTGTTGACGCTGTTTATTGATAAACACAAGTCCGTTTTAATTCGAAATACGTAATTCTGTTAAAAACCTGAAGAACTAAACTTTCAAATAATTTCTCACCTCTTTTTTCAAATGGTTCCAGTTTTTCTCTATTGTACTCTCCATCTAAGATAAAATGACAAATCAAACTTTAAAATTTTGCAGGCCAATGACTCTACTATGGGCTAAACTCTTGCTTACTTCAAATTTTTAACGGAGAGAACGTCTTAGACCTTACTCGAGACAACAAAACTTTAGCCACTACTACAGCAAATATTCTTAGGAAGGCTTGAGGCATCAGCCTATTACACCTCAAGTTGCTAAAAGTTCGAGAATTTACTTGATTTGAGTCGTTTCTTCCTAATTCGTCGTCCTCTTCCGATGACAAGAAACCTGGAAATTAAAGTTATATTAAAAAAATTAGTAAAAGTACTGTTTAATATTTCCACTTTTCATAATTAAAACGAGAGAATAGTTCTTTTTTTGCAAGACTCAAAATTGGGTCAGGTATATCTTATATAAATTATAAGTTAGGGACCTGAAAGAAAATCATCTCGGAAAAATAAAGTTGTATTGGGAAAATCTTACAGGCACAGGGTTTTACTTTAACTTTAGAAAATGAAATATTTAGTTCATCCTTAATCGCGTGTCAACCAACGCTTTGACGAATACGAAGCGACATTACATACACGGAAGTTTTTCAGCTACGTTCCTGAGTCCTATCTTTTTTAAAGCTTCAGCAAACTTTCCGACAGTAGCATCCTCTCCCTTCTGATTAATCCACCTTACGATGACCGCAATGCAGCATTCGTTAGTAGAAGCGCCCTTGTCACTCTCGATCGTGCCAATGACAGCCTCTGTGAACTTAAGTTGTCGTGCCAGGTCTCTCCACTTGTTCCCAATCTGCTCGTGTAAGAAATGTTCATTCATAATTTCCTCTGTCATCCGACGTTTCCGGCTGCACTTGTTGCTGGAACAACCTGCTAAAAGTACCATAGCTCAGAGTTAAAAAAGAATGCATGCTACAAAGCGTTAACAGGTTTCATTCAGTAAATTAGTTGCAGAGAAAATGTACAGAAGCGATAAAAATTTTCCTTGCGTAAATGAAAATCGGACACAAAAATATTCGTGATGTTCGACGGTCTGCTGCTAATACGCCAGTAATTTATTCTTGTATCATTAACGTGAGGTAAAGTATGCTGGGCATTACCAAAGTTGTTGTTTCGTCATCTTAGTAGACCAATACCGAATCCTTACAGACTGATTGGATTGCTTCATCAAATGGAGAGATTTAGGAAATGAGTTTTTGCGCAAACTCAGACGCGTTGGTTGCGAGCTGAGCCCCCGATCATTTTTGCCGAGGTATTTCTTTCAGTCGTCATTCAAATGGAATGCAAACCTCAGATATAATGCTGACGTAGGCACAGCATTGCCTAGCATCCTTATCCTAGATAAAGTTGTTTTTGTTGGTGCAGGACGACCTCAGAATAGATAAAACTCCTCCTCTGGTCGATTGATTAAGCAGACTTGAATGAAGATACTGCTGGTAATTAGTATTAAAGCTACGATCGTCTTTGACGAACCAAATATGGGGGCTATGTTATTGTCTTATTAGTAAGCAGGAAGCAATTTGATGATGCGAAATATCGAGCAGAAATGAAGAAAATTGTTAATTTTGTTGACAGTGGACGACAAGTTAAATAATTATGTAGATAAGAAACCCTGTATTGCAAGTTTTTTTCCGGTACGTCAAGTATGCTACTTCTAAATTGAAGGGAATTTTCCCTTTGACAGCCGTCGGAATATACTGTAATACCGTGCGGAAATCAGAGGCTTACGCGTTACGCGTTACGCGTTACGCACGCGGAAACAGATAGGAAAACTGATAGAATAGCAGATCAATCGAAAGGGAAAACAGATCAGCTGAACGTTAAATACCTCAGCCTTATTTGACTCATACAATGTACATAATTTTAAACAATAACAACAACAATAACAACAACATTTCTTAACATTACTACTGGCCACCCGGAAATTACTCCGGCAACTGATAATATTGGAAATTAGCTTGGATAGACCTCACCGTTATGATGTACTTACCCATTTCTGAGGATTTACTGATATTGTCCATATGTCTTGCACCTGCAAGATAGTGTTTTAGAGTAATCACTCCACTCTAGTGATCAAACAGTTCTGACTCTTAGACAAAACAGTATTAATCTCCCGGCAGCAAGGACTCGTCTGAAAGTTTTAAGGCGAACTCAGGCGTTGTATATCTGTCAGATGGCTTGTGCTTTACCTGTTTCCAAGATTAATAACCTCAGTCAGGAAAACTTGAGAATGACAAAGCGCACAGCCGTCTCTTTATCGAGGTTGTGGCTTAGTGTAGTTAGTTAATTGTTCACTTTTGTGCGTTGAATATTGATCAGCAGACTTCTCTGTACGATCCCCACAGAAGAAAGTATGAAACACTCACTGATTTCTTCGAACGTCACAACAGAGCAGAGCTTCGATCTGCAACACGCACAAAACTAAATAAAAAAATAATTTCCTTGTCGGGTCTGATAATGTCGAGCCAGCCGTCATGTGATCGTTGGGTCAGTGAACCGTTAAGTACGGTGCGTGACTCTAATCAAATCGTGGGTGAATCGTACTAATCTGTGAGTGACATTTAAAATGACGTGAACCTGACAAGTTTCCAATTGTTTAGAACTAGCCACTAATGCTAAGTAATGCAACATGTCTTAACTTGTATAGCAAATTTTCTGGGTTCTCATTAGCTGAGGTCGAGATATAAATGAACTTAACAATCCTTAAGTACGCTAAATAGTTTAGATTGTATAAAAAATCGTGTTAGACCACGAATGTTTGTACGAGCGTACTTAACCTTACGGGAGACCAAGAGCTTAATGGCTTATTCTTTCCACATATTTCTGTATAGGATAAAAACAACAACAACTTCAAAAAAGACACATCGCAACTTTTCGATTACTTTCATTTCCAGGTTAAAAATTTTGCCGACTTGACACAAATCTATGTAGGTCAAGCAAAGATGAAATATAAAGCAAATAATTTTGTAAGCGGAAACATCATCTATGCCACCGGACGTGGTTTTCACCGAAAACGTAGTTGTAGATCAGCTTTATTATTTCTCTAAAGGATTTTAATCATTTATAAATCCACTTTATAAGGTAACTTGTCTGAAATTTCAGACCGGAAGTTTCGGTTGCGTTATTGGGGGCTTACCCCTACAGCAGGGTTTTTCCCTGGTTTTATGTAACGATATTTCTGTTTAAATGACATCGATTATGAAACGAAAATTGACCAAAGCTTGGAAAGATTTCAGGTACACGTTTAGCGGAGAAATGCCTTCCTTTAGATGAATACAGAGGTGCATGGTAATTTAATTTTCTCCAGATCGCTTTTTTCATTGGACTTAACCAAGATTTGCACATTTACCGTTGATTATTCTACAAATTCACTTTAACTTTCTCTTTAGTTAACGCCCCCTCATAAAAAAGCAAAGCTTTTGGGTTTCGTCACGGTGAAATCTTGGAATCCGCCTAACCTTAAGAGGGGATACCCCTTCTTTACTAGAGAATTCTAATGACTCCGTTAATTAGCTTATTAAGATTGACCGTTTTATTTGCGAAGAAATCATTCGCTTGCAAGACTGCGATGAAAATAGAAACAAATGGTAATGCAAGGTATTAGAATCTAGTTCCAAAAAAGAAGCACGATTTTAAAGGAGAACTCGAGACACAAAAAGCACTAAAAAAACACTCCATACATGATGCTGGTGCGAGCCCATGAAACGTAACGAACATAGAGAGCTCTTTGATGATTATGTGATAAAAAGCGATTGCTTGACACATAACACTACACGAAGATTACCCTCTTTATTGATCATATTTGAGAATGTTACAAATAGGCCTCCATTTAAAGTACCGAGGTATCTCATTAATTAATTTAGTGGTCATTCAAACAGCCAAATAAAACGCCAGACATAATTATGACGTAGGAAAAGCAATAGCATTAGTATTTAGCATCCTTATCCCAGAGAAACCCTAGAATAGATAAAACTCCTCATCTGTTAATTCCTGAGCAGGCTCAGAATGATGATGATACTGCTGACACTGCCTATTGAGCTACGATTGCTATTGACGAAACAAATATGGAGGCTATGCTACTATCTTAACAGCCAGCTGGAAGCAGCAGAAATTATAAGACTTCTTGGGCAACAAATTAGTTAGGAAGTTAAAAAGAAGACGATGAGCCTTGCACGTTAAAGATTAACGATGTAAAAAAAAAAAACACCTACTTCGTTGGCTGTAGATTACATCATAAGCCATAATTATGACACCTTGCAAGATAAGCACAATTTTTTTTAAAATTCCCTTTCTTAATTAGAAGGGACTCTTCCCTTTGCCCAACACCGGTCGTAATATTATGTAACCATAACTATGCGGAAATCAAAAGCAAGGGGGAAACTAGTTTCAGAAACTTACGTCATGCGCTATCAACAGGTGATTAAAATATGCACACGGAAACGCGCAGGGAAACCGATAGAATAGCAGATCAATTGAAAGGGAAAGCAAGTAAACTTAACTTAATTTATCACAGTCGTATTTGATTCATGTAGTGCGCATAAATTTGCGAGAAATCAAAATTTCTAAACCCCACTGCTCACATGCAATTTCACTGGGAGAAATGCATTCACCCGGAAATTAAGCAATATTGGAACTTGACTTGAATAAAACCTCCAGAAATTCCGTTTTAAAGTACTTACCTATCTCTGAGTATTTGGTGTTGTTGTCCGTGGGTTTTGTTTCCTCCAAAATAGCGTCTCAGTCTAAGTACTCCAGTCTGGTGATCGAACGGCATTAATTATCAGACAAACTAAATTCGATTTATCAGACAGCAAGACACGTATGAAAGTTTCTACGTATAGGCGCTGAGCAGTTTAATTGGACTGTTTGTTAACCTGTCCGATGGGTTAATCTTCGTTATCTGGAAAACTGTATCGAAACTTCCGCGCAATGCGTTGCACTATTTTTCCTTATCTGCCAAATTTACTTTGGCAGACTTCTCTGTACGAACCACTGACGCAAAATCTGCAAATTACTCAATGAAAGTGATAAACTGACCAGCTGTTTCTTACCAAGGCCACTGATTCAGTTCCCATGAAATGTCCTGAGTGGAGCTGTTACATCAGACTTTCAAGGTATTTGAAGCTTAATAAATGTCGTTTAATCACTGCTTTAATTTGAAGCTATAACGTCATATGATGTTTGTAAGGACCGATGAACCGTAAAATAAATCCAGAAAAAAATAGCTTTCTCTTGTTTTCACAGATGATCGCTCAGAGCATTATGTGAGATAGCTTTAGAGTCCACACGAGCCTCGAGGGTGAAGGCGAAAGGCGCGCGCGCCATATATTTTTTGAAAAAAAAAATGATCCGTGAGCGAATTCGGGTTTTTTAGATAAGACGGGCAGATTTGTTAATGTAGAAGTAAAGAGAAAAAGTACTTTTTGGGATCGATGCATGCTGCTCGGAGTCGCCCTAACATCGTAATATTCGATTTTTGACCCCCGACAGATTATTAATTGATGTATAATAGTGACAATGAATCTTATCTGTTTAAATTTGTGCAGTTGCACCGCGACTGTTGATGCCAGGTGACACGTAAAATAACGTGAACCCGACAGGTCTTTAACTGTTTATTTAAAGCTCAGACCTTGCATCTTGCCTATGCTTGTGTAACAAATAGTTTATGTTCTACATGATAGACGCTGATAAGTACATAAACTTGATAATCCTTAAGTAATTGATTCTGATTGCCTACAGATCTTAATCAGGCGACAAAATTTTATATGTATATGAGCACGGTTAATCTGAAGAAAGAAAAAAGCGAAATGTTTTATTCTTTCCACATATTATTGGATAAGATGAAAAAATCGTAGTCATCGAAACTTCTTATATCATTTTCAATTTCGAGGGAAAATGTTGCCGACTTGACACAACTTTATGCAGGTCAAAACAAAGGGATTTTAAATTTCAGACCGAAAGTAATGGAATAATTACGGGGCTTCCCCATACTGAAATTCCTGTACAAATGATCGTCAAGGGAATTTGACAAAAGTTATTGAATCTAGAGACCTGGGAAGCTTCCAGGAGCGTATTTGGCGGTGGGATCTCAGATAATACATCCTTTGAGATAAATTCAGAGGTGCTCAGTAATCAATTTTTATGGCTAGTGCTTCCTATGGAGGCAAAGCCATAGCGTTGTCCTGTTGAGTGAGTGAGTGAGTGAGTGTAACAATAGAATACGAACGACCTATAAGCCCTCAACGAAGTCTACCGAGTTATGCCCGATATTCCTCGCTCTTAGCTTCTGTTCGTTTCGGAACATCCTCGTTTGTTCAACGCTTGGTGACCATTTCTTCGAATGTTACTCGGAATTGGCCACGTGATCACACGAGAAGTCTTGCGACGAGTTTAAATCATTTTGGTTTAAGAATCAAGCACAGTTTTTAAGGCATTTATGGGGAACTTGTAAGAGAATAATTTTCCAGTGCGAAGCAACACTTGTCGCCGAAATGAGTGAGATGATAACGATAGAGTTCCGATCTTGACCCAATTTTCACCCGATGTTTCGCGGCGCTACTTATTAGAAGTTTCGGAGAGCTACAGAAGATGATGAAAATCTCACAATCTTTTCAGGATGGCGCGTGAAGAAACAAAGTTTTTCCTTGCAGGAATATCTTAAAAGGTGTGATCGGCGCATCTTACGTTCTAATTCATTACGCTCAACCGAACGTAAAGTATTTTATTCGTAAGTCAACAGATAGCACATTCAAGTATGTTTGGATTCGCGAGCGGATCCAGATAATCCATGAGCAATTACAACGTAAATAAAGCACTTGAAGAATTTCTCGGCCTTTTCCCGCGGTTATTATTTCCTTCATCCTTTAGTCGCCGTTTTTGGCCGGCGACTTCTCTTGCTATCTCACGTTTTTCGTCTTCTGATCTCGAAGTCAATTCAATCTGACTCATACTCTGCCACTGCCAGTCTACGAAAAATTCAAGGGATTTTCCTCTCTTTATTAAGTAAAATACGGTGAACTGTTTGATATGCGAGGATTTGCATGCAATAATAATTGCAGATATCAAAATTTAAGACAAAAACAAATGTTTGAGCGGGTTGTTAGAATCTCGATCTAAAAATAATTTACCCAATGTTCTAAAAAAGTAACACGAATGGTGAAAGTTTTACCTGTCATCTTTGATTTTTACGGTAGCGGAAGGCTGGGGAGGAAAAAAATAATAATCTGCGCATGCGTTCCCCACGGCTGGAAGTAGATTAGCGCGTCACCGAAAACTGTGATACTGTGATACCTCTTCCTTCGAAACCTAGACCAAACCACGAAGGAACTGCACCAAGTATACGGTTAAAGGTGGATAAAATTAAAGGGGCTATCCGATGGCAAAAAGGGAAACAACAGTGCCTGCAATGTCAGAGACAAGCGAACGTAAAGCTGATCAAGGTTTTGAAATGCAAAGTAAGTAATCATAATAAACATAAGCTCATGGATCGATTTTTTTTGTAAGTTGCATATTTCTCATAATCATAATAAAAATCATAATAGTTTTTGAGTTATTTTAATGTGCGTTCAGTCTAAATTCGGTATTGATCATCAATTTTGCTAAATTCGAGTGGATATATGCCTCCTGGTGTTCATCTTCACTTTCAGACGATTGAGAATCATGTCAATTGAGAGAAAAAGAAAAAAATTTCAGTAAGAGATAAATATCATTCCATTTTGGTTACTGATTTTCGTTCCGTCTTCATGATATGAAATTATGAATCTATTTCGTTTTAACAGATGCAAATGATGATCATGTAAGCTACAACAAGCAGAGAAAATGTGTCGAAGATTAAAACCTCATACTTGAATTAATTCACAGTAAAGCGATGTTCACCTTTCAGCGAGGTGAAAGGCAGAATCGCTCTATTACTAACTTTTTTTCCCAATAGTTGTGTGTAAACAACAAATGACCTTTTCAGGCGCCCTGGCCAATGGAAAGTTTTTACACCACACACAGTTTGATTTCATCGGGCCTTCAAGCGCAGAGGAGCTTTCGCATCCGATTCATTAAACGGAAGGTTATAAGTTGCAATCCTGTTGTGAACATTTAGGAATTCCTCTATCGCAAATTTCTTGCGTCTTCTGCCAGAAACATCTTTTCCATGTTAACTACTGTTCAAGTATAGCTTTGCTCTCTTAGTAACTAATTTTTCTTTTCCATAATGATAGCTGGTTCACAATTTTTTAAAATGTAATTCCACACATCTGAAAGATTACAATCAGTTCAAGTATATTTTGTTGTGCACAGGAAACGTTATTGACCGCAGAGGGTCTGTGGTAACAGAGCGGCAGCTTTCAGACATAAGTGATGATGTAGGTACTTGCTGGCGTGAGCTGGGACCAAAGCTTGATATCTCTGCATCGAAAATCAAAAACCTGGACGAGGATTATAATTGTAGTCGCGACAAAGCAAACACTCTCCTTCTTGTGTGGAAACAAAGAGAAGGGAATACTGCGGTGGCAGGGCGTCTCGCGGATGCTTTAGAAAGCATTGGACAAAAAAGCATTGCAGAAAGGCTGTTCGGTAAGTAGGTTCCTTCTATGCAAGATTATGTAATGTCCTCTTTAGTGTACATTAATTGGTTACAGACTCATTGGGCAGATTTATGACATGCACTTGCAATGTCACGTTGTTAGATGCACGCAGTGGCATGATATATATTTCCGCATGCAAATCAGATTTTCTGCGATTAGTGTACAGCGTTAGCTATCGAAATCGCGGTCCCCGGTGACACACCTAGCGATTTTATACGCCATTACGAATCACCAGTAAAATTAATCAATTAAGTTGGCGATATTATCGCATAACTTTTTAAATAGGCGAAAGGCATCGAAAATTGCAAAAAAGCTCTTCACTGTTTATGCATTTAATGGTATTGTCAAAGAATTACAACAGCGCACAGTTTAATTTAATCGTAGTTTCATTTTTTTTGACAGACCCTGATAAGCAAGCCGTTCTTGCAGACTACTCTGAAAAATACTACGCGTCATATTGTGACAGAGATTCAAAACCTGAAGAGACACCTAAAGGAAGGAAACCTGGACTGTGGAGACGGAGACACGAGTGATGGGGACTCCGGGGGCACGAGACAAGAAACAAACTGTTCATCTGATGATAATGTAGATCCATCATACAGCGAAAGCACGGAGAAATTGCTTCTATTCTGTGAGGAAAATCGAAAATTTTGTAACTCGATATTTGTAGTTCTCATCAAGCTGACAGACGAAGTTGGCCGACTGAGTGAGGATAATTTAGATTGTATTCAACAACTTCGGGAGTTTACAGGAGAACTGCGTGAGCAGGAAAGGAAACTTTTCGTCAAAATTGAGTATTTACGTAATCAAAGCCAACATTCGGATGAGCAGCATGCTGCCCGCGCAGAGAAATTGGTAAAATGGAAGACAGAACAAGAAAAACAATTTATGGAAGTGGAAAAGCTATTGTCGGGATTGCTTCATCAGGGAAGTAAAGACAGTAGACCACAATATCAAGGAAATCAGGTGCTTTAAAAGCTCTAATATTTTCTCACATTTGAGCGTAAATCTTCACTTAAAATAATTTAACCCAGAAGCTCGACGTATGGATATGTTCAAATATTTTATTTCAACTGCGTGTACCTCACCCCTTAAACTGATGGAGAGATGGTTTCGTCGTTTATTTCTTTATCTTTGGGCTCTTCCGGTGGAATTTTCCTTAATTTTTCAATTTTTCATTACGAAATCTTAAAAACAGTATCCCCTCAAATAGGACGTCCCAGTGGTAATACGTAAATCGTGTGAGTTCTCAAAGAAATAGCACTTCCTCGGACGTCTCCAATTCGAGACCACCAGCCTAAATTTTGGGTGCTCCAGATCAACAAATTACTTCATTGTTCAGTCTGATCATTTCTATTTTTTGTTCCCTATTAAAAAAACAACAACACCCATACGTTATTGTTTCCAATTATGCAGTTACAAATGTTAACTTAATAATTCGATAACGTCTTTGTCGTTGCCCATGCAGTCACCTTATAATTCAAACGTCATATATTTAATTTGCATTCTTCTGTCAGTCTTAATGCTTAGCTTACATCAGTCGGTAAGATAGGTTTGTTGATGATCCTATCTGAGTGTTGAAGCCTACAAAAAAATTATCTCCTCTAACTCAACTCTTTCAAATCAAATGTTGAGGATCCTTTAAGTGTTGTAACCTTATGTTTTTAATTCTTATGCTCTACTTATATTTTTTCCTTTTGAATTATGTTGTATTGAAAGACGCCTCGACAAAGATCTGCGTCAGAGGTACACTCAAAACCTCGGCATGAATATGGAAGGAAGGTAACCAAGTCTTAATTTTATCTCAGATTATTAAAAATCTCATTGCGCAATAAGGCGTTCACTAATTCAAAATTTTTCTTCAAAACGTAACCCTCCGGCTCTCTGTCAGATGCATTAAACACATTTCTAAACTTCGGACGGAAAACCGAAAGCCGGAAGGCCACGTTTTGAAGAAATTTTTTAACCTTAAACGGGAAAGTGCCGGTTGATTGAAAGCGAAGGACAAGAACAGAGATCGAGCCGGCAAAACTGTTAATGTGCTTAGATAATTATAAAATGGAAGAATAAGGTTATGTTTTTGTGTTACGCAGAGTCTCAGAAATCCTTTAGAAGAGACCCAGTCCAAAAGGACCATAGTGAAGGTATGAATGATATGATAGTTATCATAGCAACTTGAAAGGATGCAAAAGCGAGTAAAAAATATTAGCAATGTGACCTAACAACACGAAATATGCAACTGAAGGACAGAAATTGATTTCAAAGTTTAAAAAACGATAACTCACTTGATAAGACTACAACAATCATAGCATGCAGGCGCTATTCACGCCGGAAATCAACCATGCAAGCGTGTCAGGTAATTGTTTCCAGAGATGCTTTTAAGGCGCTTAAATGACTATGTTTGAGAGCTAATACTCGTGGCCCTAATCTGATCCATTCAGACCCTTTAAATGTTGTATTATTTTTGTTTGTTTTTTGTTTGTTTGTTTGGTTACGTGCCATGATAATATGATCCTAGCTTAAGTTCAGATTGATGACGAAATAGCAATGCAATCTCTCATTGATTTTTATTCAAGAAACCCATAATGAAGCGGAAATCGTGAGATGAAGAAACGTGCATCCTTGTTTCGTTCTCAAAATCTCCCGACGATAATGAAGGTGATTGAGCCAAAGAATCCGAGAACTGGAGATAATGCACGAGAACTTTCATCTGGGTGTCCTGGGACACCCAGGAAGGGCGATGGAAACAATCTCGCTCCAAGATTCTTCTCCGTTTGAGACAGTGAAAGGTTAAAATGGGGCTCGGAACGATAATTACCATGTCTACTATTTTGTTAAGTTTCAAATGCAGAAATCGTAGATTTTTATTCTGGTTTGCAAAAACGATTTCAAGGACGAAAAAACAAATCATTTACAGCAACGAAAATAGTTCGGCTTCACTGGTCTACTCTGTTCATCATCGAAACTACATCATTGCGTGTTCAGCGTTATCACACATACAAATATTCAACATTGATCTTGGGGTACCACAGCGGTCAAACGGTGACGAATGCCCTTTCAAGAAGTATGGTTAGTAATGGAGAGCCCTCGTGTAACAGCATTTTGCAGGCCAAGATACAAGGCTCTCGCATTAGTTTTTTTACACTTTGTCGGTCTGGTCTGGTCTGGTCTGGTCTGGTCTGGCCTGGTCGTGCTGGCTGTAGTTATTCTTACCGAGTCGTTGTATTCATGGCGGAGTTGCCGGAAAAGAAGAAGCACAGCCAGACTATACATACGTCACGATAACAAGTCTATGTTTATCGCAGACATTAGACTGGGAAGTACTGTAATATGTTAATTTCCTAACATTCTTGCGCTCATATTCTTCGACTATTTAAATGTGAACTTATTTATGACTAACTGGTGTAAGATTTATTGTATGATGCTTGATTAAGTTACTAGTATTAACTATAACGTCGTCACATTTGATTTTGTCCCCTGTTAGGGATCTTGAAGGGAAGATTGACGAAAGTAAAGAAATCTAACATGTAGAGCTTGGAAAGTTTCCAGGTGACCGAGTCAAATAGCTTATAAAGGTGATTTCATTCGCCTAGAAAAAAAATTGCCATTTAAAATGAGGGTGTGAAAATCTCGCTCCAAAAGGAACATGCCCAGTTTCGAAAAATTTATGAAAATGTACAAAAAAAAGAAAGAAAATCCGTCCAAAATGCTGACGTAAACGCATTCTGTATACCCATCAGGCCAGATACAGACAAACATTGCCGTGATGGTACAGCTGGTATGGATCCAAAGGCGCGCAGAAGTATACCTTTACAACAGGAAGAAAAAACGTTAAAGAGAAGTGGTTTTATCGGCACTTCTGCCGACGTTTTCGTTCGTGATAAAAAAAAAATTGATGTCTGAATGGAGCAACAACTTGTAAGCTGTCTTCAGGAATACAAATTTGCTGGCTCATCCAAGGTGAAAGGCAAATGAAGATAACTGGCATTCTACCCCCACATTCGTCAGAGGGTTCGTAAAGTTTTGGCAAGAGAACTCGTGTTCTCTTAGCTTTACATACATACATATACCTTATTTAAGCTCGAAATTCAGTGTAGCTGTAGAGCTAATATCTTCGAGAAAAAAAGCTAAAAAGAAATAAAAATATGCTATCTTACAATTTCAATATTATTTATAAACTATATACAACTAAAAGCTAAGAGGGAAACATAACTTGTAGACCTAGCTTTGGAAACTGTGTTTTCATTACCAGTCACTGTTTTAATTATTTTCATATTTATTTTCAAAAATTAAACTAACTTACATTAACAAATTGATATTTGTATTGATGTATGTGCTACTTCGATTTGTTTTTTTTTCTATCTGGTAACTTATTCATTAATATCTTTCTTTCACACATAGGTTTAGCATATCTAATCATTCATTTGTTTCATTGTTGTTCAATGTTTAGCTGTTAGTGAACAAAGAGGGAAGGAGGAGTTCAGACGTCAAGTAAAAAGAAATAATCAGTGATATAATAGGACTGACATTGCAAATTAAGAACATTTCAGTGCCTTGGTGGTATACTGTTTTAACCTCCCCTGACGGCATCCTCAAGGTATCTCTATCTCAGTCGATCGGCCTCGTGTTGATAGGACTTTGTTCAGAAGCTTAACCCAACAAGAGTAAATATTTTTTAGATCCTTAATGAATGAGCAATACACATTTGGTTTCTATTTTTTCAAGATAGAAGGTTTGAAATTTCAAAATCTTCATATTTTTACATCTACAATATAGTTGAAAGATACATTAAATAACAATTTGAAGCGGCTATACGGCACTAAGCTGATCACTGGCTATTGAAACGCCCTTCATCATGATGCTTCTCCTGATTTCCGCTGGCAGGATGAACACTCGAGTATTAACTGATATCTCAAGTCAGGCTTCTTTTCCGTTCTGAAGCTGACTCTCGTGATTCACTTTTCTGCAAAGAAGATATTATTGTATATAGTTACTGATACGTAAAGCACAAGAAGAAAACTTATGTAAAACGATTTAGGCCCAGTTCATACGACATGCTTCTGCCGTGCCAAACCTAATTGCAATTAGGTTCGACCATAGTGCGGCTAATGTCTTGCGAAATTCAACATTTACTGAAGCACCCTCGACGCATACTCCCTAAAGAATAATTATTATCGTGACTCCTCCGCGGTAACGCCTGAGCCACCTTTTGTTTTTACCATATTTTGAAGTCACTCAGCCCTTTTTTTTATCAGTTCTGAGGATGCTGAAAGGAAGAATGTATTCTTCTGCAGCAACACTCAGACGCCGAAAGATGTAAATCACTTTTACCAACTGTAAGCAAACACCTGCACCGAGACAGTATATGCAGAATTGACATTCCTTGAACAGGAACTAACCGTTAGGCGTAGAGATGGTTAAATTTTAACTGTTAGTCGTAAGAAAGGTTAACCGTGAAGGAAGGAAGGAACTTAATCGTTAGCCGTAAAATCGCCGAAATTGTAACCATCAGCCTTAAAAGCCATCACCCCATTGGGAACCTCCTTGAATCTAAGTGCATTTTTTTCGGTCTCGACTTCTTTGATTTTCCATGAAATCTCAGGTATTGGAGTCAAACATGTAGTTAGTCGAGTTACTTTGCAATCGAAAAGTCAGAGTGAATAAACACTTGATCCCCATGTGCTTTTCAAACTCGAGGATCAAGAATTTGCCCAGAAAACGATCAAAAGCTTAGTGTAACTATAAACTCAAACTATCCAAAAACATTTGCAAATTACCTCTCCTTGCTAAAGGTCTTCTGTATCTCCATCAAACTGATTTGATGAACTATCAGTGGTTTTGATATGTTTCTTATCTCGTCCACGCCTGACCATTCACTCAAACTTTGATGTCTGCTCTTTTGATCGGTTTTAGCTTGCTAAAACACAAAAAAATTAACTAAATATTACACAAGAGGGGGTGTATTTGCACGTTTCTATTGACTTGTCAGGGTTTTAGGCCATCTAGACAGAAAAATAAATTTTTTTAATGTATTTCATTAATGTAAAGAACTGAAAAACATTGGCTTCGAAAGATGGAAATGAGTGTGGGAAATACCTGACTTTTTTCTATTTTCCGCTATGATTGCTTTCTCTCCGCACTCACCTGATCAAGCAAGAAAGAAAGTAACTTTTCGACTTCTTCGATATGTTTTTTGTGTGCCCTTCTCCACTTTTCTAGCTGTTCAACTCGAGAAACTTGATGCTTATCCAAATGATGGCTTTGACTAAGCGCAGGTTCAATTCGGGAGAAAATTTTGTTTTCTTGGTCCTTCACTTCCATCGTAAACTCCAAGAATTGATGAATACACTTCGAATTGTCTTTCATTATCTCTCCAAAAACCGCACCAATTGTCCTAATAAGAGAAAGATATATTCCTTCACAACAACTGCGCTGTTCCTCGCACCACTGTAGCAATTGTTCTACTTTTGAAGTTTCATCGACAGACGAATGGGTGCTCTTTGATTTTACTTTTTTCAGTTGCCTCCTTAGTTCTTGAACCCCCGATCTGGCTCTGATTAAGCTATTTTGGCGTAAAAACGATGTTTGTTCTGTTTCCATGGCAACTCCGAATCCTTGAACGGAAACAGGAACATCCTTGAAAAAAAATATATCTCTGTCAGGCAATTTACGGGTGTACCTCAGTAACGTAGTAAAATCACGTTACTGGAAGGCATTCCGATACAGGTTAAACACAGAGTTCACCATGTGCTCAAAATTTGGCTCAAGAATGTTCACTTAAAAATAGGTTCTAATTGGGTTAACTTAGAACAAAAAATAATATTATGTTGTGGGTGTTCACTTTATGCACTGCTTACCGACAGCGTACCTTCTGCAGCTGTCATCAAAGGTATCGTTAAATAATAAGGCAATAAAAATACCTCGTCAAGATTGGAACTTCGGAACCCTTCACTACTGCGCAGAGGTTTTACCTCGTATTTATTTCCTTGTGGATCTTTGCATAGAATCAGCTGTGGCGAAACGAGAATATGCCAATAAGCGAACTGAATAGAGCATGAATTGTGCATAAACTAAACATATTGGCATCGTGAGACTGACATATTTAGCCATTTAGTATTCATATGTTTGAAAGCATATAATTAAGCAATTATACTTTGTAATATAAAGCTCCAAACCTTGTTGCCGCGTTTTGAATCCAACACTCTCAAACTGATTTCATCGCCTTCGCCAACATTAATGACTGGGGGAAGATTCTCATCACACATTTCTAGAAATATGTTGAGAAGGAAAACTAAATAAGTGTACTGATTTCATCGCCTTCGCCAACATTAATAACTGTGAAAAGATTCTCATCACACATTTCTAGAAATATGTTGAGAAGGAAAACGAAATAAGTGTACTATTTAAGGGAGACGTGGGCATCATTCTCCATCAGGGGATCCTATCAACTGACACCTAAGGGATGCCAGGTTTTTTTCATCAAGCCCCGATATCGAGATAAACGAAGCGGGACGCTCATACATTTTAATAGCCCTTCACCGTAAGTTAGCCTTTGGCAGTACTCGTTATTCAGCTATTCATACCTTAGTACCTCACAAACGCAGCAGACAATGGTACGGACAGAAATACAGTTAAACCCTTATAATGGAGCTAGTCAGGAGAGCGAAAAGAGCTTCGAGATGGAAGACTTAGAGCCAGTGGATCGTAAATGACCATTAAGGAGAAAAAAACCTGTAACGGAGTCGCCTTAAGGGGAGTGGCTCAGTTTAAAGGAGTTCGACTTTGCGAATTCTCATCGTTATTGTAAAGAGAATAGTTTAATCCACATACATCAGCCACCCACCAAGCACGCTATCCGCGATATCTTTTCTTCCAATACTCTCCAAAGCATCCGAAAGAATTCCTGCTGTCGCACTCTTCCCTTCCTTCTGTTTCCACGAAATAAGCAGGGAGTTTGCTTTGTCCCGGTTACATCTGTACTCTTCGTCCAGGTTTTGGATTTTTGCGGCAGAAATTCTCAGTATTGGTCCTAACTCGCGCCAAAAATTCCCGACGTCTTCACTGATATTTGCAAGTTGCAGTTCTGTTACTAAACACATTCTTCGATCGATAGTTTTTGCTGTGTATAGAAAACAAGGTTTAAAAGATTAAACTCCACGAGCGGATAATTGAAAAGTAGATTTTTGAGGTATTCGGGGTAAAGCCTCATATGAAATTATCACTGAGCTTCGTTTGAAACTGAGGACTGTAATTAGGGTGGGCCTGTTAAGTTTCTGCATATAGTTTAACCCTATAAGTAAACCCTAGCATCAGTGTGCATATTCGCCATGCTGTTCTCTATATATTTCCTAAGATTCTTTCTTCTTTAACAACCAAGAGCTTCTTAAGGTAATGATCATTTCCTTTATTCTCATGACCTTAACGTTTGATTCAAGGGTGGTATTGTGAGGAGAAATTAGATGCTTGTCGCCTTAAGAGTTAAAGGGTTAATAGTCAACAGCTTTTTCTGATTTCATTTTAGGCCTCTAAATACAGCATAATCTAGATGTATACCTGCATATCATTATCCATTTGCTATTTCGAATTTTTCTTTTTTCTTTGCAGTAAGGAGCGACCAGATCTCTGGAACTTTTTTCAAGAGCCAGTTGGTAAAGCGTTCGAAAGGTATTGGTGAAGAACGGGATCTGTCCACGCCGAAGAAAGTAGATCAATAGGCTGACCAGCCCATGTTTATGTGTGCTCTAGAGCGTTAAAATGCTAAATTGTAAGAATTTTTATTCTTAAATGTCTCGCTCTCCTCTTCCCTTTTCATTTGAATGACTGAAAAGAATGTTCCGTTTGCATTTCCTGTCGCTAGATAAGGATCTAGTGTAACCCATCAGCTTCCACTTGTGTTAGGAAAACATAACTTAAGAACAACTGAACTGTCAACGTAACAGTCAAATTTTATAGAAATCAATGATGATATCAAATAAATTTAAAGAATGTTTAGCGCGATGGGTCTAGCAGAAATTATAAAGCTCTCATTTGAGATTGAGATTGGATTAAGCAGGTGTAGAATAAATTACGAGGAGGGAAAGGGGCTTAGAAACTTGATCCCACGTAAACTGCGGCATCTTTCAGGTTCATGCTTCAGATATTTTACCTCATTCGACTGTTCTATTAATTATTCACAAAGCATTTGGGAAATATTTCAAGGTAAAAACAGCGCCATATTCATACTTCATGCCATTAACAGAGGAATATTCATGATAAAGTCGCTAAGGAAACAACTTAACGTTCAAACATTGTCGGTTTACTCACAATATAACCTCGAGCTGATGAATAAAGATGACACACAGGAGATTTCAAAATATTAACCGAATTGACATACGTCCTAAGATATACTCAAAATACTGAAAGGGTTGCACTTTACCCAAAATATGGACAAACCTATCAAGAAATTAGTATCATAAGACTTAGTACTCAGTTTACCGTAAATTAAAAGGCTGGCTTCCAAACAGTTTAAATAATTGACGACTGCTAGTTATTTAATGAGTCATCAAACTGATAACAGACTTAAACAATAAACAAGGAGATTTCAAAAAGTTCCAAAAGTGTTCATAGTGCAAAAAAAGCGAGTTGTTTGACTCGCAAAATATTTAGTGAGTAATTGCAATTGTTAGGGGGTTGAAATTACGGTTTGGTATTAGGCAGGAATATACATAAAAGCCCTCATTGCTCTTGCGACATGTTTTGATTATTATAAGCACGACCAACTACGTATTTTTACTTGTATTGTGATACTAATTACCTCTCATTTCAACACATCGCTCCGATTCACGTTCATTCAGCTTTGTTTTCTTCATGTCCAAGGATTCATTCTCCCCGTCATGGGCTCCCGTTTTCTGTCTCTGAAGCGAAGTTCTGCCGTCCTCCCGTGAGTCAGTGCCATTGTTTAAGGGTGTCGCTCCGTCAGGTTCGGGCACGTCGTCGGTGCTGATTGTACAAGTTGTTTTATCTATTTGAGCAGCCTCTTCCGACCGAGTGTAAACGCATGCTTCCTTGGGTGCTTCGTTTGTCTCCCCGTTATTTTTGTAAACCACCGTAAACCACATCAGATTCGCTTGAATGTTCGTGATGTCTTACGGAGTTAAAGGTATTCCACCTCAAGTTGAAAGCATCCAACACGCAACATGTTATTAATATATCACACTGAGATATTCCGTTAGACCATAACTAATCCTAATTGACCAATCACAACTAGTATTTTTTAAATTGCCCCTCTGGCTTGTATAAATGCAATGTCAATTTATTTTCAATTTAATGTTATTTTAACTAATTGCAATTATATTAAGGAGCAAACATCACATAACATAACGGAATTTTGTATGCACAGGAACACCAAGAAACCCTTTCGTAATTGTTCAGGAAACCATGATGGTAAGGATAATTATATCAAAATATGTTAATTGTGTATAGAGCACCCTAATCGTGTAAACGATGTTAATTGCATATTAGCCACTTTATAAATCTTCAACCCTTTCACTTAGAAAAAAAATTTGAATAAAATTATGTATTTAAAACATTTTCGTTCCCGAAGCCCATCAATTTTCTCGGCCATTGGCGCCTCGGCACCGTTTTCTGATAAATCGAAGGGCTCTACACACGCACAAAATAATCCTTTTTTTTCAAATTGGTCAAGTTCAGAAAAATGATATCGTACTAAGAAAGCAAATCAACAACCAAAAAACGGAAGTGGCGTAAAAGACATAAAATCTTCATTGTATGAGCTAATATTGTCTGTGGAGCGGCAGCTAACTTCTACATGTAAAAATTAGCTAAGATCACTCCTGGAGAGATAAAACTCGTAATTTTTTTTCGTCTACGAGTCTCTCTCGAAGTTATTCTGGTGATGGCGTAAACATCGACGGAAAGTTTTTTTTTTTAAATCAGATATTTGTTGGTTATTGAGGTGTTATAAAAATATGTAAGCGAAATCAAGTTTAGAACACAACAGTAATTTTTCATTTCATCTCCAGGGCATGAAAAATTTTGAATTCATACGCACACATGCGTACATGAACTTTATTCGAGTGAGAAGATGGTATTTCACTAATAAAGCTAATAAACTTGTGATGTATTTTATGTAATTATAATTGATAATCAATAAAGAAAAGAAAAAAATACCATCCAAGTATACAAGAGTTCTCTCCTTCTCTCCTAATGTATCGTGAATCCTCAAACCGTCCCATAATCTAAAGAAAATACTAAAGCTGATTACCTAAATAGTTTGTCATATGCTTACGAATTTTTGTTCATCTTCAACCTGGCAATTATAACTTTGGCAGAGAGGCTAATTCACCTTCATATCAAGGCGAACAAGAACTTTCTACTGTCAGTAATTGAGATTCATATTTTCTTACATTATATTTTTCAAATAAACAGATGGTCTACTAAATATGACAATAAAATGAACGATGATCAAAAATGAGGTTGTCAGTGTGCTCCTTTCAATATCTTTGCAGAGGGCTTCCTAAAAAAGAGGTTATTCTAATCGATTTTTCCGTTGTTAGCAATGTCAGTTCATGAGTTCTTTTGTGTTGACTCCTGCTCCCGAATTTGGTTTGGTATTCTTCATCGCTGACTCGGAGCCTCGGCATGCTGTATTTGTAACATTAATTCATCTGAATAGTGCAAATAAAGTTGAAAGTTGAAATTCGCTGGATGGTTTTGAGATGAGAAGAGGATGCGAAGTTATTTGTCTTCCGATCCCCGCCTCGAAAAGAGATTCTTGAAATATGAGGAGAAAAAAAAAAGAAAACTGCATTGTAATTAGTGTCGATAGCATTGTTTTTTCTGAAGAAGATGATATTATCACAGTGAAACCAGGAAGAAATAATAAAAAGGTAAGACCAGACACAATAAAAAAAAGGATGAAGTGTAAAAGGCCATAAGAATACATTTAAAATATAATAATAATAATAATAATAATAATAATAATACTATTGTCATGTTAAGGTAGAGCTTTGTGTGGATTATTTTTAAGTACGAAGGGTGGCCTCCCAGAGCTGAATGTCCCGCATTTCATCTTTGATCTTTAATATTTGTAATAAATTATTCGTGTTCTTGTTAAAATCAATTTTCGTCCCAGCGCTGGCCAATTTTGCGTTGTTGGGTCATAGAAAAGTTCTGTTCGTGCTTCTCTTCCAGCGGAGAAGAAAGCCAAACATTTCCAACTTTTTCTTAGGTTCTTAGTTTGATAGTGGTATTTAAATAACGATTACATCATACCTTCATTTTGATCTTTTTTGATTTGTCACTTTCTGAATAACGTCTGGAACCCTGCAAAAAAAGATAGAATTAAATCTAAACATAAACATTTAGCTACGTTCCTGAAAACAGTCGACAAAGGTAATATGAATGAGCGAATTAGATCTAAGATATGTTGAGCTTATTGTAATTATAGTAGGTCATATTTACCATGATTGTGGCCTAGTCAGTTACTTATCTGCAGTTTGATTCAGTCCAGTGATCTGTGTTTTGATAATCTCAGATTAAACTAAAATTTCCTTACCATCTCTCCGAGTCCTGACAGAGATCTTGAGCTGCATTCTGGCACAGAGTTCTAATGAGAGAACGTTACAAAAAAGAGACAACAAAATGTAGAAGAGAGAACATGACAAACAGAAATAGTCAAGAAAGAGGAGAAAATTTATAAAATCATTGATGATAAGATTCTTCCCGCTCGTTTGAGCTCAATGAAAAAAACCTGAGGCAGAATTCAATTAGAAACTTGAAAACTGACATAAGACTTCCAACAATTATGGACTACCAAGGCCCCTGTTTGGTCGGTCGCACAAAGTTTTATCTATAATGTTATTTGGACGTCAAAACCTGGGTTTATCTCTCCTTCGATCTAAATCATTTTTTCATGAAACACCCCCACTGAGCTTTTAACAATTCAAATACAATTTGCATGAGATATTAAGTAATTAAAGTAAAAAAATGTTAGTCTATTAGAAATTACCAGCCTTCCTCTATTATTCGGCTCTCCCTCAGTTGTCTTTTGATGTATTACTGTATTACTTTTGATGTATGACATCAGCTTTTCAGCTTCCTTGAATCGCACTTCATAACGCCTTTTCCATTTGTGTAATTTTTCAGCTCGATCCACGTGCCGCTCGTCCGAAAGTTGGCTCTGAGTAGGTACCGACTCGATCTTGGAGAAAAGTGTCATTTTTTCCTGCTGGAGTTCCATGGTAAAGTCCGAAAGTGGTTGAATCAGATTTACATTATCTTCACTCTGTTGCCCCACCTCAGCAGTCAGCTTGATAAGAACGTCAAACATTCTCTGGAAAAAGTTGCTATGTTCTTCACATGACTGTAGCAATTTTTCCACGCTTTCATAGTTTGGTGGATCCACCTCTTCATTTAATAAACTGCTTGTTGGCTCTTTTTTGTCTTTGGAAGCATCTTTAATCCCATCTGTCTCAACTACATTTCCACAAGCCAGTGGCCCTTTCTGCATTTGGAGCCTTAGGTCCTGATGCTTTGATGAAATGTAACGCGTTAGACTTTCCTGTCTCGCCGTAACAATAGTTTCTAAAAATCTCTTTCTCAAAAGTGTCTTTTAAAACAAATGAAATACAACTGGGTGAAAAAACTGAATTAAAACTACTAAATAATTTTCGAAGATGTACCCTGAATCACAGGGTGCGTTTTTCTAAATACTCATTCGAACATTCTATTTGGATAAATGGGATAGGTGAAGAAGTTACCTCTTCCGATTTCAAAAAATTGTCACTACTGTTGAATGCCTTCACCATGTACTTATTTCCCTGAGCATCTTCGCATATCAAAAGCTAAAAAAAAAGGACAAATAGTTGTTTGGAAACAAATTTGAACTTATTTACGAAACTTATTTTAAGAAAAATGTTTGCTAAACCAACACAATTTTTTTTACTTTACTTGTAAAGAGTGGTTGATAGTAAAGCTAAGTCCAGAAAATCACGAGTCGTAAACATTAGAACAATTGAAGCGATTAGCTATGGAGAAATCAAGGGCACACGTACCAGTCAATAGCTTGGAAATGAAATAACTTTTTTGTAACGAATTATGTGTACTGTTTTTGTGAAAACTACATATTTCGAAGCTTATTGTAGAAAACGTGTTTTTAATTACTTACCTCATCAAGCCCTTCATCCAAGCTATGAATAACTATTAAACTGATAACATCCAGTCCTAAATAATAACATATATATTGAGAAGAACTTATTATAGGTTAAACTCGATCAGTTCGAAGATTCATCACCCCCCCCCCCTCCCCCTCGGCAGCCCCCAGAACAAATGTCACTAATGTCACCATTTAGAATATCCGTAGTTAGGGAAAGATTTTTATTCCTTGCAAGAGAGCAATTACTTAACTTAGCAACCTTTTCTTTAAACAACCAATTTTCAACAATCATGATTACACACAATCCGGTTGATAGGGTTGCTGGAAAATTTATGGAGCACTTTTCCGATTGAGTCTCGTAAAACCACACCCAGAGTTGTGCCAACTGCCAATTAGAACAAAGGCAAATGTCAGTTGTTAGGAGCCAATGAGAGCATAAAGCATAAACACGCGAAATACTTAAGTGCGGGTCTACAAGTCCCGTTTGATTTTAGTCTTGAGTGGTGCGAGTTTCTTGGTAAAGGTCGTCAAAATCATTACAATCCAGAATCACTTTCAACACTAAGTTGTCAATTGCTCTCTCAAGAACTGCAAAATCCCCGAAATAGTAATCGCGCTCTTATTAATCAGTAGGTGTGTTGAGATAAGTACGAGTAAAAGACTTTAGATCCACGAGTGCTATAAAAGCATATGTTCACAACAGCCTTCTCCAAACGCTCAAGGGGGGAGGGTATCGGCAGAACTATCACATTCCGCCTTTATGTTAAGATCAGACAGGGAAACTACGGAAATCGAAATCGATTGCGAAATATTGTGACAATGTCCACTGTTTCCAAGACTTCATCGTGTAGTTATTCATCCGGCTTTTCGGTTGTATACGCATTTTGGCAGCGATCTTCACAGACCAATCACTCATCTTAACAGGTATACCTACTTACCAAGAAGCTTTTCTGCAATGCATTTTTTCCCAATGCTTACTAAAGCATCCGCCAGACACCCTACCAATGCATTTCTCCCTTCTTTCTGTTTCCACAAGAGGAGTAAGGCGTTTGCTTTGTCGCGACTACAGCAATAATCGTTATCCAGGTTTTGGATCTTTGCTGCAGGGATATCAAGCTTTGGTCCCAGCTCACGCCAGCAAGTACCTACGTCATCACTTATGTCTGAAAGTTGCAGTTCTGTTACCACAGAGATCCCTGGGTCGTTGTGTGCACAAAGAGATATTAGATTCTTAGCTAAATCAACGTTTCAATTGGATGTAGTTTTTAACATTGGATTACGTGAGGCATCTTAGTCCAAATTTAATGAGGTTTTCTTCTTGCCTTGGAGTAAAAAACTTACCTGGTGTTAATTGTACAATAATAACGTAGAGGGGTTAAGCTTCTGTATAGCATAGTGAATTTTAAACAGCAGTATATGATCTCTATATAAACTCTACGCAGTTTTCATAAATTTCTAAATTAATTTTGGTAATAAATAACTCTAAGTTATTCATTCTTGGCTGTACTTTAGTCGACTTTGTTTTTTGGGAGCTGATTTTGATTTTGGATATTTCTGGTCTCCAGCGGCTTCATCAATATTAGTTATATCCGAAATTTAATTCACATATCTTCAATTGTTATTTCAATATTGCTTAAACTCTTTCAAACGTCACGCATCTCCTTGGTTATATTTATAACAAGATCTTACAATTGCCATAGTCAACCACTGAAGCATAACACAATACTCAGCAAACATAATGGATGTCAGTCTACGGGCTCCTGCAATTTTGTTAGTCTTTAAAAAAATTTACTCGTGCTTATTTATTCCAAATTGCACTCGAAATCATGTGATTAACTATACAAACAGTGCTGCTTCCATCCTGACTTTTAAAAAAGGAGCAGCGTGATAAACTTGAGAAAAAAAAAACTCATTGTAAATGAAGCCAGTTCGAGTTAGTACCTGCCCAGTCATGTTAGTCTCTAAAATCACTATAGCGGAACATATGTTAACCTTATACATTGTAAATATTACTCTAGTTTATCAACGCGGAAATGCAACAATCTCGCATCCAAATCACACATCGACAACTAAACTAACATCATGACATATATAGAGCTTTAAGGTTAAATAAAAGACCAGTTATACGACAATTAAAAAACACAGATTAACCACTTTAAGATCGATGACAAGCGCCCACGAAGACTCCCAGAAAGATTTGATAGTTACCGGTAAATTACTGTTATATGATTGATTAAGCTTTGCCGATACAGAAAAACGTGCACCTGCAGAACCAAAGGATAATACTTAGAAACTGAACACAAGTAGCATTGTGACAAACTACCGAGACTGAACTAAACTAAATAGCCATACCTAAACCACGTACATACATTTTATATTATGAAAGCTTACTTCTAATTTCAGTAGCATTCTCAGCTTCTATTTCGCTTGTCGCAGGCAATGCCGGCGTCTTTGTTTCCTCGGAAGCCATAGGACTTGCTTCTCTTCTCTCTTCTTCTTGTTGTTTCCTCAATAAAACTTTACTTTCCCTCTGTGAACTGATAAAAACTTCGATGTTAACCTGAGGGCATTTTCGACAATATATTTAACCACATCTTGCCACAAGGAAATTAATATTACTCAATTGTTTGCCTATGTGTTCCTTCTCGTCCACTTCCACCACTGAAGCTACTCAAATCCTTGTGATATTGACAGAACTGACAGCTTTCACCTTCGAGCCAGCAAGTACAACAAAGTGTAGCAGATCACTACATTTCTCTCCTCATGGATGAATTAATCTAATGATTAACAAACATGATGTGATGAAAAGGGAAAAAAACCACCACAAATCATCATACCGAGGTTGCTCCGGATGGATGCAGGGCATTTCGATTTCCAACCACATCTTGTCACAAGGAAATTAATATTTCCTTGGGGGGAGGGGGGGAAAGTCGAAGAATTTTGAGAGAGATCATATACTTTTCATCGAGAGGGGAAGGGAGGGGGAATCAGTTGCGCTAACAGATTGCAAAAGGGGACCATGGAAAACATTTGTCAATGAAGGGGATCATTAGAATACTACCAGGGTGGGGTCAGGTTAATTTTACTGAGACCAGGAGACATCATGTCGCAACATGACCAAGCTCGTTGTCAGTCCAGTCTCATAATTACATCAAAATATGTTAATTGGTGCATAAAGGATGTTTATCTTTTTCATTTAAACAATGGAATTGGATATTACCTTCTTAAGAAATCTTCAACCCTTAACGTAAAAAAAAAATTTCATCCATTTATGTATTAAGAACATTCTCGTTCCCAGAGCCCGTCAGTTTTCTCGGCTGCCAGCGGCTCAGCACCGATTTAAAATAAAAAGAAGAGCTCTAGACACGCACAAAATTAGCCTTTTTTTTTCCAAATTTGTCAATTTGTACGAGTAAAAATTAACTCGCACCTCGAAAGATTAAACTCGTAAGTTTTTTTCGTCTCCGAGTCTCTCGATTCTAACTCTGGTAATCATGACGTAAAGTTCAACAAGCAGTTATTGTTACAAAAATCAGACTCATGGTAATTATCGAGGTGCTGTCAATTGAAATCGAAATCAGGTGAGAATACGAACAACCCCTTTTTTTTCATTTCAAGGGGACGCGCACATAAACATTTGAATTTTCATCCAAAAGTAAAGAGAGTTTTTCGCTGATAGAGCTACTTGGAGACACTTGTAATAGAATTAAAATGAAATTTATAATCGAAAAATAGCACTTCGCCATCTAATTAAGCAAGACTTCTATCTCCAGGTATCGTGAATCCTCGAACATTCTTATGATCCAAAGAAAATACACTTCAGAAAGGCAGTGTCGTAATTTTAAATTTGCCTCTCGCAGAGAGCGTCTTCGAAAAGAGGTTATTCTAATCAACTTTTTTACTGTAAACTATTTTAGTCTCTGAGTTCTTCTGTGTTGTCTCCCGCACCCGAATCTTTAGTTTGATGTTCTTCATCGCTAATTGCATTTGAGATCGTTAGGAGAACGCAAGTTGTCAACTGTGCTCTTAATTATTCACAAAGCATTCGCGAAATATTTCAAGGTAAAAACAGCGCTCTATTCATAATTCATGCCATTAACAGTGGAATATTCATGATAAAGTCGCTAGGGAAATAACAACGTGCAAACTTGTCGGTTTACTCACAATATAACCACAGGCTATACCCGAACGTTCAATTAGCTTACAGCGTGCATCATAGCACTGAAACTGCTCTTCTGAAAGTGAAGAATGACATCCTGCTCAATATGAATAAACAACATATAACCCTTCTAGTGCTGGCCAAATTTGCGTTGCTGAGTCTTAAAAAAGTTCTGTTCGTCCTTTTCTTCTTGCGGAGAAGACAGCCAAACATTTTCAACTTTTTCTTACGTTCTTAGTTTGATGGTGGTATTTTAATAACGATTACATTATACCTTCATTCTGATCTCTTTTGATAGGTCACCTTCTGAATGATGTCTGAAACTCTACAAAAAAAGATAGAATTAGATCTAAACATAAACATTTAGCTATTGTCCTGAAAACAGGCGATAAAGGTAATATGAATGACCGAATAGAGAACAAAGATATTTTGAGCGTGTTATAATTATAATGAGTCATATTCACCATGATAGTGGCTTAGTCAGTTACTTACCTGCAGTTTGATTGAGTCCGGTGATCTGTGTTTTGATAATTTCATATTCAACTCAAATTCCCTCACCTTCTCTCCGAATCCTGACAGAGATTTTGAGCCGTGTTCTGGCACAGATTTCTGGTGAGAGAACTTTACAAAAAGGAGACAACAAATGTAACAATGCGAAAAAATCACAGAAAAAACCAATAAGGGGAGAAGATTTATAGAGTCATCGATGATAAGATTCTGCCTGCTTGTTTGAGTTCATTGAAACAAAAACCTGAGGCAGAATGCAATTAGGAACTTGTTGACTGACATAAGACTACCGACAATTATGGACTATGAAGGCCTCTGATAAGTCGGTCGTACAAAGTTTCATCTATCATGTTAATTGGGTTTATCTCTCCCTCGATATAAATCAAATGTTTCATGAAACTCCCTCAATGAGCTTCTAACAATTCACATACAATTTGCATGTAATATTAAGTAATTAAATTGAAAAAATGTTAGTCTATTAGAAATTACCAGCCTTCCTTTATAATTTGGCTTTCCCTCTGTTGTACTTTGATGGATTAGTCCTGACAGCAGCTTTTCAACTTCCTTGATTTGCACCTCATGTTGCGTTTTCCATTTATGTAATTCTTCAGCTCGATCCTTATGCCGCTCGTCCGAAAGTTGGCTCTGAGTACCCACCAAATCGATTTTGGAGAAAAGTTTTATTTCTTCTTGCTGGAGTTCCATAGTAAACTCCAAAAGTTGAGAAATACAGTTTACATTATCTTCACTTTGTTGTGCAACCTCGGCCGTCAGCTTGATAACAGCTTCAAACCTTCTCTGGAAAATGTTGCGATGTTCTTCACATAACTGTAGCAATTTTTCCACGCTTTCATCGTTTGGTGGATCCACCTCTTCATTTAATAAACTGCTTGCTGGCTCTTTTTTGTCTTTGGAAGCATCTTGACTCCCGTCTGTTTTATCAAAATTTCCATTGGCCAGTTGCCCTTTCTTCATTTGGAGCCTCAGGTCTTGAAGCTCTGATGAAATATAACGCTTTAAGCTTTCCTGTCTTGCTACAACAACAGTTTCTAAAAATTTCTTGCTTACAAGTGTCTGTTAAAGCAAATGAAATACAACCGGGTGAAAAAACTGAGTAAAAACTATTAAATAATTTTCGAAGACGTACCGGGCCTTGAATCACGGGTGCATTTTTCCAAATACTCATTGAAACATTCTAATTGGATAAATGGGATAAGTACTTGATAAGTTACCTCTTCCAATTTCAAAAAATTGTCACTGCTGTTGAATGCTTTAACCATGAATTTATTTCCCTGTGCATCTTCGCACACCATAAGCTAAAAAAAATGACAAATAGTTGTATGGAAGCATATTTTAACTTATTTTACGAAAAATATTTGCTAAACCAACATAATTTTGTCATTTTACTTGTAAAGAGTGGTTGATGATGAAGCTATGTTCAGAGAATGGTGGAAATCCACCTTAAGTGGTATTTCTGGTCTACGGCTGATGTAAATTTCATCCTTTCGTTCACGAGTCCCAATCATTAGAACAATTGAAGTGATTAGCTCTGGAGAGGTCGAGGGCACACGTACCAGTCAATAGCTTGGAAATGAAACATAACTTTGTTGGAACAAATTATGAATATTGTTTTTGTGAAAATTACATCTTTCAGTGCTTATGGTAGAAAACGTGTTGTTAATTACTAACCTTATCAAGCCCTTCACCCAAGTTATGGATAACTGTTAAACTGATAACATGGGCCTTAGGAATGCTTCCACACCTCAGCATTTTCGCATCATCCACTATAAATAATAGAACATATGTTGAAAGGAAAGTGTTTTCAGTTAAGAGTTATTCATCGATCAGTTTGAAGCCTCATTATCCACCCAAGGGCAGCACCCCGGAACAAATTACACCAATAAACTAATGTAACCATTTAGAATATCTGCAGCCAGGGAAAGATTCCTATTCCTTCCAATAAAGCAATTTCTTAACTTAGCAACCCTTATAATAGGATAGCTAGACAATTCACGGTTTTCGTAAAATCAAACCCATAGTTTTGCTAAATGTCAATTAGAATAAAGCCAAATATCACTGGTCAGGAGCCAGAGGGAGTACAAAGCATAAAGAAGCAAAATATTTGTAGCGTGGGCCTACTTGTCACCTTTGATCTTAATCTTGAATTCCATCGGTTGAAGGAGTGGGGCAAGTTCCCGGGTCCATTAGACAACAAAGCTGACCAAAATCAACTCTATTAAGAATTGCTCTATTAAGAATTGCAAAATCCCTGAAATAGTAAGCGCGCTCAAATTAATCATTAGGTGTGTTTAGATAAGGATGAGTTAAAGATATGAGCTATGTGACAAATAGATTCCAAGTTGCCGTGCGACTGTTCAGTAATAGATCACAGATGATGTGAACAAATGTTTTCAGTTGTTGTCAACTGTTTTCTAATACTCTATTGACACCAGCAAAACATATTTTGTTCAACTGGTTTTTACTGAATGACAACCATAAACAGATTCAAGTATTTGTTAACTTGCATTTTCAATGTACTACATTTTAAATAAAAAAAATCAGGTTCAGTAGTTTCTATGAAGTAGAAAAAAATTAACCTGTCTTTAACAAAACAACCTAAAAAAAAGTCTAAGCTTTGGTGTGAATGGGGTATAAGACTTCGTCGTATAGTTATCCATCCGGTTTGTCAGTTGTATATACATTTTAGTAGCAATCTTCACAGGCCACTCATTCATCTTACCAGGTATACCTACTCACCAAGAAGCTTTTCTGCTATGCATTTTTTCCCAATGCTTTCTAAAGCATCCGCTTAACGCCCTGCCACTGCACTGCTCCCTTCTTTCTGTTTCCATATGAGGAGTAAGGCGTTTGCTTTGTCGCGACTACAGCGATAATCGTTGTCCAGACTTTGGATCTTTGCTGCAGGGATATCAAGCTTTGGTCCAAGCTCACGCCAGCAAGTACCTACGTCATCACTTATGTCTGAAAGCAGCAGTTCTGTCACCACAGAGGTCCTTGGGTCGTTTAAGTCTCCTGTGTGTATTTAGAGATATTACATTCTTAGCTACATTAATGTTTTAGTTGCATGCAGTTTAAATATTGGATTGCGT